TGTTGCTTCACTCCCTCATTTCGCTTGGGAACAGTGCTTTCGATCCTCACATTGAAACGCGTCATTCCGTCCACTCTTTCTATTGAAGTCGCAGCGCGCCTCTTCAATAATCGAGTCTATCTGATGTCTCCAGACACCAAAAGAAGAATGAGTCCTCTTGACCTATCTCGTTCGCTCGTGGGCTCCGAGACTCTTCCCGAGTTGTCGAATTCTCCAGTCTGCTGCCGATACAAGCTTGAGATACTGGCTCACGAAGACTCGCTCTTCGTACTCGAACGGTCAGTCGTCTCGTAATTTGGGATTGTTGGTACGTGGGAGCTCTGTGGCTTTTTCGAGGATCGACTCGCCCTCCCAACTCTGAAGGCGAGCCAATCGGCTTATGACAGCATTCTCTCATTCAAGCGATAGGAAAACCCCGCTGTCCGTAGCATAGACAGACTATGAGGCCATCACGAGGGGATTCCGCAAGCTCCGATGAAATGCATGAACGCTCCGAATCACGAATGGACGGGGTACGTTCCTCCATACGAAACCGCGGCCTTGAGCGGGGCATGTCTCAAATCAACTCGAATTAACAATTGGAGCGTTTTGTGTCTTCTCCTTTCTCATACTACGATCTCAGGCCGTGTGCGAATTCGCATATCCGCCCGCCTGTGCTTCCCTCACTCTGGTTGCTGATCAAATATTTCGGGTAATGCCCAAGGGACCGGTTGCGAGGAAGGGGTGAATTTCATGTGATTTTCTGTGGGTTATGAGTCCCTTCGTTTCCGTCGTTCTTCCAGTGTTCTCCGAGCTTCTTCGGACACGTCTGCCGAAAAGGAATCAGCGATTTCAGTGTGGTTAAAACTTCGTCCGAACTGCCTCTCGTCTCTTGTCGCAGTCCTCTGTTAACGGGACTTGGTATGCGGATCGCTCGAGTCCCATGACTCGGGTTCCCTGTCTTAAGCCTCAACAGTATCTTACCTCAATGCTGTCTAGAATATGCATACTTTGATATTGTTTGACCGTCTACATGTGAGCCATGCTTCGTATTTTTGTCTCCAGTGTGTTTGTGTTCTCCTACGTTAGCTTGTATCCTGAAAACTTCTGCAGTGTAGCTTTCAAGTGGCTGGCACCCGGTAAGGAAGATTCCCCCGGAACTCGAGCGTCACTCATTGGGGATCAGCGTATGAGTAATCGGATTTTGCTTTCTTCCTCCCTATACACGAGGAACGTCAAGGGCTCGCGCTGTATCGACTTCCATGTCTGGCGCTCCCTGGGTGTTCCATCCCTCTTAGAACTCGAAATCCTCCAGTCATTTGAATGACCGACTATTCGAAAAAAGATTCCCGTCAAGACTAGTAGTGATAGCATGATCACCTTTGATTAGTGGGAAAGGTAACACGTGGGTCTTCCGTAGCCAACTTCGCTCTCATCGTTTTGTGTGGGTTCTCTTCTCCGCCGAACTCATCATTGACCGAGATTTATGGACAGGATTTCCGGAGATCATTGAGATCATCCGGAGCTAGGAGCGGCTTACAGGCAGGCCTCTCAAAAACGTTTCGATCATCACGACTTAAAACGAGCGTGAGGATGGCAAATAGTAACGTTCGAGCCTGTCAACCGGAGCCGCCGTACCTAATGCAACGATATCGTAATTTGTATCGTTATATCCATTCATCTCAGTAATCATATAATATAAATAATCAGATGATGATAACGCGAATAGTATTATCATCACAATTACAGGTCTTTCGATTTGGATCGAATGATCAGCCGGCTGGCGAGGCAACACGTTTGGTTTCGCTAATCATTATAGCCGACATCACAAAGTCCTGCTCGGTTGTTGAAGTTCCCCTCATGCCTGTACAGAAGACCTTCGGTTGCATGGCAGGATGATGGATTTGTGCAACCTCTGCTTTTCTAATTCCGAAATTATAACGCTCCGTACTGACTAGCGCCGTATCATCGACCTAAGCTCCCTTCGGACTGATGAGTATAGAAATCGTCCCGATGCATGTGTTCGACGGGCTGTCTGAGGTCTCTCTATTTTCCGTCCTCAGCCGCCGCCGTCACTCCGCATGATCTTTCTTGGTATCTCTCGTGTACGAATAGGGGTTCCCGATCAGCGGCGGAGTCGGAAGCTCTCTGTGTCTAGAGATCGAATGACCGTTTTCGGTCTTCGGATCGATTCATAGAACAAAAGAGAACTCGGAGGAAGGGAGTCATTGATTACTTTCTGTGCGATAAAATTATTGCTATGATTCCATTGTGATGGTGCGGCGGCTGAGCGAGCGAACGGGTTTATTGGCTGACCGACCGACCGAATCGAGGAGACGGGAGCAGATAAACCAATCGATTGGCTCGCAAAACGCGTCCGGAGAAGATCTAAGTTCAGAATTACCGACGGTTCGCCATTCGTCCGCCCGCCGTTGCTATCGCAGCAGCCTCCCGCATGATGGTCGCAACGCTGTATTGTCTGCGCCCTTCAAAATACCTCGAGCCGGAACAAGACAGAAGTATTCCTTGTTAACTCTTAAGAAACAACATCAATTGATCAATCAATCTATCGATCAATCTACGAATTCATCGACTGAGCGGGCAAGCTTCCTTCCTGTTGACTTGGTACAACATTGATCGGTCATCTGCCATCAAACAAAACGAGCGTAATGTTGTCAACCACGTCATATCTGTCATTTCTCAGGACATCACTTTCGCCATCAAACATAGGTCGCCATCGTCTCGGTCGAACTTTTGTCGAATCCATCGACTAGAACTAGAACATTGCCTCCCGTAATCCGAGTCTGCTTCTTCTGCAAGCGCTCTTGTTTGGATCCTCCCGTATTTAGGCGAGATATCTGCCGACGGCGAAGTTTCCGCCTGCGGCGCGGCCTTTCTATTATCGTATGTATGTATGTATATGTCGTGAGAATCATCACCATCATCATCCCTGCCCGGAACAATTAGGGGAGTCGAGTTCCTCCGCTGCTTCATCAAATGAGAGCCAGCGTCCGTCCCTGAATGATTCCGAGCGCTATAATCATTCAAAATTTTGAATGAGTCGAAAACACACAAGGTGAATACAGCAGGAATATGAGCCGCATTCTTCTCCCCTCGTCTCTTCTATTTCAGATTGGATCAGATGAGCGCCAGACGGAGAGCAGAGATCGGCGAACAATCTCCCCCCTGGGTGTACTCGCCTAATGAGCGCATCAGCGATAGAGCGTAGATCCCTTTCTCATCCCGGATAGGCTGGGATGTGAAATGAAAGCAGCATCCGACGTCCGGATTCAGGACGATTCTTTGTGAACGGCAATCTTCGGAATCGTGTTGCCGAGAGGGGTTCCCCGTCCGTCACAAGCCTCTTTCCTACAGAGGTTCGCTGACGCCCACCTTGAGGCCTCAAACCTGCGCTGATACAAAATATATCATTAATGAGGGATTATCATATCAAGGACAGGCACTCGTGACCTCTTATGGAGATGAATCGATGGGGTCTGAAACACCCTTCGAGGCAGCGAAATTTCGCTGATCAGACCACAACCAAGTATGCAGCTTATTTTCCCTAGAGACCATAACAGGGAGGACGATTCTCTCGAGACATACTCACCCAAAATTCTACCTGATGCGACGATGATGTCTTTCGAACCCGAAACGGCTCTCGGAGAGCTCGAAACCGACTGATGATAGTCGCTTGAATGGGACTCCCCGCCCTCGAATTCGGGATCGATGCCCTAGAGACGAGTAGTCTAGGCAAATCGTTTCACCGCCCTGTCTGATTACTCTGATTTTGGTATGATGATGACGATTATGATGATGTCTCCGAAGCATTGTGGGTATGGGAGAAGTAGAGTAGTTGAAGTTGTTGAGACCGTAGCACTAGTATTGATAAGAGAAGCAGCAGTAGTATCTCTAGTTGAATGCAGTTATAGTCGTAGTAGTTGTAGCAGTAGTATCAGTAGGAGCTGTATTCGTGATAATGATAGTAGTTGTAGTGGTAGGAGTATTCGGGGTCGAAATTGCAGAAGTATCGATGTGTTCATGAATCGTGTCCTTTCTAGATGTCCTCTTCATCGTCACGGCTGGTCAAGTCCCTTTTTAAACCGCCTGACTCGCCAGCAGCACCTTATATCTGCGCGCCCTTTTGACAACGATCGCTGAAGAATGCGACAGCAGCAGCCTTGCCCAGGCGTTCCAGGTTCCATTTGGTGGCGTTTTGCGGCGTCGCCTCGCATGCAGCTCTCCGATCCAGTGGCGTATGTGAAAGGGTAGGCAGAGAAAGCGTGTTTCACGAATTTGACGTGAAAAAAAGACATTTCACGACAGCATTTCCAGCGGAGCACGCCATTCTCAAATAGTGAGTGTCGGAAATCGCCGATTTTTGGGCCAGAGGAGCTCTCAATATGTACCATGGTGTTTGCGAAGTCTCAAGTGACTCCCCATGTCGAGGCGACATTCGTCGAATCCGCCTCGCGCGCCTCTTGAGCTGGATACGCCACTGCTCCGATCAGATCGGCCGACCAGGGGTCTGCCGGGATCTTTCTCTTCACCAGCAACCAGGGGATGCCGATGTTCTGGGATTTAGAAGTTCTTCGATCAAGAGGCTACGGCCATTGACCGAAACAATCGGAGTGGTGCCTCGAATCGCCCTGACTCCTCGCTCGTCACGCCGACATCAATGAGAAATACAGGGGGGGAAGCGTGACTCGTTACCGATGGTAGCTCCCCGCCCCCGATCGTTCGTGTGACTTCTCTCGATGGTGGACCTCGTCTGATCTTCATCGTCGACCACGTGGGCAAGGTTTAACAATTCGTTCTTGAATTGACTTCCAGCATTCACCAGCCTCCATGGTTTGCATCTGACGGGGGAATGTCCGGAGTGATCTCGAAGATTCCATCAAATCGCCTCCTGGGCCTATGAGTTTTGTTTGTGGACGAATCTAGGTGCCTACGATGATGCTATCGTAAGTGTTGCTGCTGAAGTCGTTGCTGCTGCCGTCAAAATTCCGGAGTTCAGATGTTTAGTGGTAGCCGTTGGCGAACGCGGCGGCCATGAGGGGTCCCATGCTGACGGTCAGCGGGGGGAATCCAGACGGTTGCGGCGACGTTGCGGTCTGCACATAGCTGACTGCATTGTCCGTCGAAGTGGTGTAGAGATCCTGAATGGGTGTGGGACCCGGGCTCGTCGTGCTAGTAGCTCCACCGTGCCCGGTGGCGCCCGTGCCGGAACCAAACGTGCCCCGGCTCTGGGGGCCTGAACCATTCGCTGGCGAAGCAGGGGCAGCAGTGAAACTTTGTGGCCCGTAGCTGTTTATCACTGAAAGGATAATGATGTTTGCTTAGCGACTCTCTACAGAACTCTCGACTGGTATCTCTAGGTGCGTCACATACAGACGGGTCAACAAGCGAGCTCATCGGATCGAAGTTTCCCAAGCTGAAGCATGCTGTGGTTGCACTACATAGAGATTCCTCCCATCACTCGCGATCAGCCGATTTCATGAAGCTCGTTGAATGTCGTCCGGGATTTCAAAGCTCCGCGATTCGATGGAAGGAAGTACCGAAACTTTCGCATTCCTCCCCAGTCGCCTCCTTGGCCTGTGGGCACGAATCGGGTCAAAGAATGAGGTTTCCGGACTCCGTTTCCTCAAACTTGGATCGCCGAACAAGCCTCATTAAGGACACCGCGACGGAGCAGTGGTCATTCCCAAAGAGAGAGAGACAGACAGAGCTCCCGAGCGCATGGGCTCCCTTCGAGTGTTCGAGATGATCGCAAACCCTTATCAAGGATCATGCTCCGGCCTCTCGATTCACAGCTGAATCTCATTGATATTTATAATTACGCTTGGGGAAAATCGGATGTGATGGCGCGAACCCGTCTGATGTTCAGAATCGAAGAGGGCAGCGGGGGAAGGGCAATTGAAGCGGACACGACGACAGTACTAGCGATATCATCTTTCGGTGAGGGGCGGTGAACTTGAGAGTGGAATCATACGCTGTGCGCAGCAATAGTCCCTTCCAAAAAGCATTTTGAAGCTGATCTCGAGTTGCGGGTGGCTTGTATATCTCATGTCAACAACTCTATCGACGGATATTTGCAGCTGTTGCGTCCGCCATCTAGGGCCTGTGTCGCGCGAAAGAGCGACTCTCACTTGATGATCGCTCGAGCTTGCATCAATGATCGGCAGCGAGAAAGGAAGAAATGCCTCTACGAAGGCAGCACTAGGATTGGCGCGGAGAGACATCACAAACCAGAATATTAAGATCTACTAAACGAATCATATGCTGGATGAAATTGCAAACCGAGCTCTGTTTATCCGAGAGCCTCCTGAAATGGAGTTGGTGTATGAGCGATCATACGCGCGAACGAGCGGACCGACGACGAGGGATGATCGGGCTGCTAGGCTCTTCAATGCGAAACTGTTCTATTTTTTCGTTTGTATGGTCTCAATTCCGCCACAGGTTTCGCAGGCGAGAGACTCGGGAAGTATCATACGATGGGGACGATGACCATCAATCGGGCCAAAACGCCCGATGGAAGCGAATGCACTGCAATCTAGACAGTAGCTAAGTCACAGCAACCGGCGGCAATCGATTCTAAAGTAGCATAAGAGAGATCAATCGGATTCCGAAACATTCAGAAAACACATCAACACGTTTATCTAACGCGGGTGGTTGGCACTCGACAGGAGCTCGACGACAGTAAATACCTGATAATGCTTGAGTTAACAACGGTGGTGACGTTTGTTGTCCGTTAAGCTCCACTACAAGAGAAAGATTCCTAGTTACTGCTAGCTAGTCTACTGTTTGGGAAAAGCTAGCTCTCAGTCATGCTCTTGCAATAACCAACGTCATCTGAAGTCAATACTTCGAATACGACCATCAAAGTGGCATCGGGAGTCACCGATGACGGATAGCCAACCACTAGAGCTACTGCTAGATACTACAAAGTCTTGTCAACTCTATTGGTAGCATTGTATCACACGTCGATCGGCGAAGATGCTCCAACATGCTGCTCTGAGCTATTCCCCGAAGACATCATCAATCAGACGACCGCAGCAGCCATAGAGGAACGCAGACCTTTTTCTAGCCTTCCGAAAGAGCGCTCAGGTAGATGAGAGACGCCACCTCGACCCGATACTGGTTCACACGCGATTCAATGCGGAAGTATGATGTATCAGTCACTCTCCTTGAGGATTTCCGCTATGCACCGGAGTTTGCATTCCGAGCCTTTGCTACGGAGTATTGACAGACGCTGGTGAGAGCATATCGCATTCGCGTGGAAGCCTTATCTTGCATGGCTTGCGCGAACGCGGCGAATAATGTTAGCGTCTCGATATCGAAGGGAGTCATCTTCTCACGTCTCCCAGTCATGACATCGCGATTTCTAAATTGTTTGACGCAGTTCGGCTCGAATCATTCCAAAGGTTACCACTCGAAGCCGTTTCGCAAGAGAGACAACGGGACGACGACACCACCGTCGGTCGATCCGGTCCGACGAGATGATTGACTCGCGAGAGATCGCTTGCTCGTAGTATCTTCGTCTGAAAGACGCGGTAGCCGCTCTCAAATCAGAATATTCCGCTCCGGTCATCGTCCTTCACTCGGTCGCTGGCCGGCGATGATCACAAGATTATGGCTTGAACCTCATAGCCTGGGCCCTTCACGATCGGAGGATTCCCCTTATCGCATGTGCAGCCGGAAACCCAATGGATCTCCTCTCAGGATGCTCTACGTTTCTGAGCGACTTGCTCTGACAGGAACATGCCGAAAACGAGCCAGGACGTATCAAGCTTTCTCTCGGGCTGGGGGCGAAGTGGGGTCAATCATAATAGATTCTGTAGGTGGCTGGAAGCTCGGAACGATGATTCGCCCCTTCCTTCAGTCATAAGTAGAGCTGCGAAGTTCAGGCACTAAAAAGTCGAAGAAAAGGCAGGCAAAAAGGCACCCAAAAAGACCGGAATAGGCACTGAAAATGGGCAAAATAGGCATAAAAGGCAGGTGTTTTGCCATCGAAATCACTTCAATTGGCTCCGATTCGGTGATCCCTCCCCCAGTTTAGAGCTCTATCCAGTTTACGGAATGACACAACGCCTTCCGGGGGAGGAATTCCGTTCAGTGTTATCGCGCAACCACGTTCTGAACTCCCGAACACCATGATTTTTCCAAAGCACGCTTATCTCGACCGAGGGGTGTATCAGAATCAGCAGTGACAGGACTCAGGACCCGAAATTCCCGGCATTCTCCTTGAAATTTGACGTCGATCAAGCCAAAATAGGCATTTATGGCAGGGAAACCCGAAAATAGGAAAAATTGCCATCTTTCCGCTGAAAAAGGCAAAATTAGGCATTTGAGGCACAATGCCTGAACTTCGCAGCTCTAGTCATAAGGTCGGAGAGTGCGGGGAAAGGGCGGAGTCCCACCAATCCCTTGGCGCGAATGCATCCAAGACGTGGTCGGTCTCCATGTATGCGTAGGATCCAGCATGTTTAGGCTAGGAACGCTAACGCATCCATTGAGACATTGCAGAGGCTTCACGGAGGACATTGAGACGCCAAACAATTGGAGATAAATATCATGATTGTCCCTAAGCGAGCTAACTCACAATCAGCACGGGAACTACGGACGCAAATTAACAGCCCAAACAAAAGGATCAAAAGTTCGGCGGAACTACGCTCTAAATACAAGACGATAAAACTAAGGTGACGATTAGGAAGGTCTTCTCACGCTCGTTCCTATCACTATACAGTACCACTGATTCTATTCATATTCGCTAGAACTCGCGAGCTCAGGCTGATATGAACCCCTGAATGATCACTAACCGAACCCGAAACCATTTTGTATTCGTCTGGTGCGGCCGATATCAATCGGTGGAGTTCGTTTGGCGGCTCATGTTTCAATTTCATGGGTGGCTGTGAGCACCTCATGAGCTTCCGGAAGGTTTCGATACTGCCTCGACGGTTCAGCTTCCGCTCCTGATTTTAGTGTTGCCATGGAAGTCTCGCATCTATTTCTGCTATCACCGACAATGCGGCTTCTGAGGCTGAGCTGGCTGATCGGGAGTCAGATGACGGACGAGACCTAGCATCACTGGATCGAAGTTCTATGATCGTACATTCCGCTACAACAAGTCTACTCATCGGCGGAATTGCTTTCCCCCGGGCCACCGAAGAGGAGCAAGCGTTGCCAGCACATCAGCGTGCTCAGGGGAAAGCCCAACCCGATCGTACGGCTTCGGACCAGCGTGAATTCAAGGAGATTGGAGTTCATGGCCCGGAAAATTCTCCCACCCCTTGAGCGTCCCGAGCAAATCGTAGATAATACTTCATGAGATGCAGACATTGAGAGAGCTCACCGCACATTCTTTGCAGAGAATTTCTCTTGGAAAACGCCATCTCAATTTTGAATAAAGGACGCTTTATTTCAACATTTCATTCGATATCCCTAATTGTGATACATCATTCGTGGCGGTCGTGCTCACTGATGAGAAGCCGACTATTCTCATCAAAGAGCATCTAAATCCCCAGCATAACTCTCGAACGTGCTTCTCAGTCCTTGGAATAACTGATAGGAATCAAATGACTCGGACAACTTGAAGCTCGACTCGGTTTCTCTGCTTCATTCATAGGGCTAGCGAGAGCCCGTTCGTCTGTCCGAGAGCATGATGCTGACTCCGCGAGCGAGGAGGACGCCGAGTCAATTGAGATCGGCTTTCCAGAATAGTATTCCCTCTCCCTTCGTCCGCGTCTTATCTACTCCCATCAACTGCGCTCGTAATATGGCCTACCCGGTTCATAAATACGATCCCGGTTTTGTCGCGATCGAGACGTTGGCCGCGAGACTCGATCAATTAGGATATATGCTCCTTTGTCGCTCTGTACCACGAGGTCAGAATTTGGTGACTCCGAGAACGGCTTATTTTCCTGCTTGTGAATATTCATTTGCTGCAGTTTGAGAGCAATCTTTGATCTGCTCACTCCGTCGCATTCACGGTCTCGATCAATAGAAGTATCTCCAAGTGTGGTTGATGGGTTCTCAGAGTCTAAGCGAAAGCACTACATGTCTCATCATCCCAGGTAATTGCATGGTATCGTAATCGCCACAGAAGAGAGCTGCGGCGGGGAGAAGCGTTTCCCACCATATTGTTGAGAATAAGCCCCCGCCGGCTTCCCGAAAAAGGGAAGGCACGAATAGAGCTCTCCGTGAATTAATCGGCTGTGCGATCCGAGGAAAACGAATTGGAGCCGGAGCAACCCTCCCGCAAGAGCAGCCCCCGCATGAGATGGAATGACTCTGTGCGTTCATATTCGGTCGAGAATCAGCTCTCCGGACACCACTCCGCGTGAGAACATTGGTTGTCTGAGATGCTGCAGATGGTGATTATCGACCGAAATCGCTCCCGGAATTCGGTACGGGTTGCTGCATCGATACGGATATAGAACCATGTGGAAGTGGGAGAAGAGCTGGATGTGGAGCACACTCATCGTCTCCCCACCGCCTTCCTTTCAGTGGTTGAATCAAGTCCGCCGAGAGAGAGAGGGAGAGAGCTAGTCGATTCCGATTAGGCTCTATCCATTGGCAGCTATTATAGGCCGTACCGAAAGGTGGTGATCCGATCCGCGGCATTCTCCCGAACCGCTGTCGTGATTTGGGCTCGCCATTCCCATCGTCGTCAGTTACATGACTGATCAATTGATCAATCACATTGGATGATCTGGAGATGACGCCAATCACGTGGACAGCTCATTCATGGGTCTCCACTTAGAACGGCAAATGAGTGGGAGACAGACGACGGCACGACTCGGTCTTGTGGAGCATCGGCTTCCTAGTCAAACCGAGTCAAAGGGATGGGTGCATGGGGTATGTCGTATGTTTTCTTCATTTCTGAAGGATTATGTTGCGCTTGTCGTTCCATTCCCCCCTGATTCTACGGAGCTTGCGATTCAAACTGCGGGCAGCGACCTCTCCCATTCACCGGTGATATTTATGGCTTCCCGATCCGTCGGAGAGCGTGACTGTTGTTCTCTAGGGACAGAAGACGCCCTTCGAGGGCTGACGCTTTTTCGTTGTCGCTCATATTCTGCCTTCTGTGTATGCGGAATTTGCGCCGCGATGCATATGTTCTCTACATAAAATCGTTCTGAGAGTGCGTTTGATTCGGAAGAAATGTAGTCATTCGAACGGCAATCATTCGAAGTCTGCGCCGTGCATGTGTGTTCGGGCAGACTGGCTCAACAAGACGCAGTAATCCGGTCACCCGCACAATATCTCGACCGATTATTCGCTCTCTCGCAGAGACTGCTCCTGTCGACTGTCGATACTCATGTGAAACGCACTAGTTTATTCGTTCACAGGGACTTTCGAGAAAAATGACGGCTTTTTGCAGTGGGCCGCGCGATTTCCTCCAATGGGCGGCCGAGATGGGAAACTCGGATTGGAGTTGGGGGACGTCCCAAGATCAACGATTCCATGGTACAGGACAACGCATGATTCCCGACGCTTCTTTCTCTCTGCCAATGCGCACGCCTCTCGGTGTCTCGTGCTCGGACTCAGACGTCGCCGGGGACAGTGTTGTTCTTGGTAAAGAATCTCGCAGGATCTTCTTTTCGCAGATGAAGATATGGGAACGGGAGAGATAAACAGTCCTCATTTGGTGGACGAAGAATTGACCGATCGATTATTCGACCATTACATTGATGGGTTGGGAGAGCCGCTTCGGAACTTGATTTGGGAGTAGTCAAACTCTCACGGCAGTCGGATAAACGGGCACAGAATCTCGGAGGCCCCTCGGACGTCAGCTAAGGAGACTGAAACGAACAAAACGAAGCAACTTAACGAGAAAATCGAATAAAACACTCGATCAAGAGAGCGGCATAATGTTTTGAAAGTCGTTGAAAGGACGAAGAACAGAACGAACGGCTTTCCATTTATTACAGGACGAACGGATGAATCAGCCAACCAACCAAGTAACGATGCGTAACGTGAAACGACTCGAATGGACGAAAAACTATCGGAGTCGACTTGAGAATCAAACAGAACAACTCAGCAACAGTTTCCCGAAAAGGAATTTACTCAAATAGACTATGGGGAACAAGTTTCACACATTACAGTCTGGATATCGATGTCATTGTACCGTGACCGAGCGAGACAGAGATTCACTTTCATCCTTCAACAAGTGGAATATCGTACCCAGTCTAGGCTACAGAAAATAGGTTCCCTCCTCCTCTCCAGATGTCTTAGAGGTAACCTGAGAAATATCAAACGAATGACCAGTGTGATTCTATCAGACGCAGTCAAATGCCGATCGTAATCCTTGAGGGCACATTTTCGTATTGATATTACGGTTGTTACTCACAGCGCTCATCGCCAAAACACTCCAATCACATCTTGCTAGTTTGTTTTTCTCGCCAAGCTTGTATTAGTATCAAGATTTGAATGCTACACGAGAGAAACGACGGCCAATCATTCCGCGGGGTCCATCAGGTGAATCGCTGCGGAAGCTTCGTTTCGAGACCATTCTCGTGCTCGCCTTAGCGCAGGAATGTCGCATGCCGTGTGGATGATCGTTTTGTTGATCGAACAGATGTTTGGAATGGTTTCACTTTCATCACACTCGCTCAGAGCGGATCAAAGGGGTCGGCGTGAAACGTCGGTTCTGATTTGTATGCTGAGCACAATCTGATAGGGATATCTGAGTACTGCCACAAGGAATCAGTTGCCGCCCTCCCTTCATGGTCAGAGAATGACTAGCAGCCGCAAGCCGGCGATAGGCGAGGCCCCGCTCTGAGGGTCACTCGCTCCCTGACCCTCGTCATTGAGAACAACATTGCATTACTCGTGAGAGTGAGAGAAAAATGAAGAGGAGGATCGGAGTCGTCTATGATCTCGAACGGGGCAGTTCTCAAGGTACAGAAGAGTCCCATCACAGTGGACTCCTATACAGTATAGTTGACCGCTAGCCCGAATCCGAATCCATCTACCAGCCCATCAATCTCATCGATGGATAGGATCTTCAATCCCGGACTTTCGGCCGGTCCCGCGAGGTCCTCTATCACAGAATTCCTCTACGTATTCGGAAAGGTATCAGAGCTTCAAATCTTGAACACGTCGGGACTCTCATTGCGAACAGGACTGGTGTGCTGGGAAATGACGGTTGATACGGCTCTTGGAAGCCGGAGGAGCTCTGATAAGAGGCTTGAGGTCACTTATCATTCGCCTCGGGCGTGGGAAGCATTCAATTTGCGTCTCGCGGAGCTTGTTCTCCTCTTCAGATAATTCAAGGATAATACTCTTCTTCTCTCTCTGACTTCGATTCAGAACGGAGCCTTAAAAGTTTGGCAATTCACTCTCACTCAGTCAAATCAGTGTTCTGGCTACGGATAAGGTGCTCCCCTTTGTTGGAGGACGACGTCGTTCCCATCTTCACGTTGGTCCCTCCTGTGTCCCGTCGTGATTAGGCTTTGCGACCGCGGTTAATAACCGCAATTGCGGTTTTTCTTTAACATGGGACTCTATGGGAGACAGCGAATAACCGCAGTCGATAACCGCGGTTTTCCATGAATTTTGCGGTTTTTCGCAAAGCCTAGTCGTGATTACAAAAACATCTAAGTATGACTCGTCTTGGGTGCTTGCCGGCTCGTTTGGGTGTGCTCGCTGTTCAGATAATGCCTTCGATGCGACATATAGCGCGGAGCTTCTATTCTTGCATCATCATGACGACCGGGCAGTACGTGAATGATTTAGGTTCAGGATTTCTGTCGAGGCCTTCCAGAGCTACCGGGGCGCGGATTCATATCTCTCAAGGATGATCGTTATAGTCATGACCGTCTTCGTTTCCGATTGATTGATCCATAGACTTATTACTTTACATCTCGGCATGGCATTCCATCGGTCCTCCTGACGAATAGCCGACCAAGCTCGCTGATCGAAATCTTCGGCGAGAGTTTTCCGTGACCGCAACAAGAATGTGTGGCGTTGCTGACCCACTCGGGATGGGTATAGGTACATATGCCTACCTAGTTGCATAATCGGCGCTCGGTTTCCTCAAGTCTCTTCGGAATCAAGAGTCGTTCGGGAGAAACTATCTGAGCCGATGTGTTCGGAATGGATTAATTATTGATCTCCCCGATACTACGTCGTCTTTTTTTTCTGAATTGACTGACACCGATTGCTCTGATTGCCTGGTTCAAAACTTTTTCGTGATTCGTATGACGGCTCGCTCGAGCGGCAAAGTTACATTCATATGTTGACATGGATCCCCCAAAGAAACTCGAGACGACACAGGCTCTTCGTCTGAATCAGACGATCGCCATATAATGAATAATGAGTTAAACTCGCACATTCCGAGCGCGCTTGATAGTCTCTGGAGTCATGATTCTTGTGTGTGAGTTTTATCACTTTCTGAACTTCCTGTCGAGCTTCCGAAACCGGAGCTTATTCATGACTTAAACAGTGAATGAACGACTGATTTATGCTTCGAAAAATCGATGAGGATGTGGGTCGCTCAAAATATTGTGAGGATTGGTCCGTGTCGATCGCTCCTATGAACATCAAACGATGTTCGTAATTCTTTGTTCGCGTGTTTGTGAAGCGCTGGAGGCTTCCGGACAGTGCCCGGAGGTCGTATCCGCCGGTTTCCGCGGGAACATTCCAGCGAGTTCTCCGCGAGCATGGAGAACACGCTTCGGAACCTTATTGCATAATTGAATTGGCCGAGCGCCCGCGCCTCTGTTCCGAGGGACATTGCACTCGTGTTTGGCAAGATCGCTCACAGGAGAATGGGTTACTTCGTCGTACGGGCTTGCCCGTTCCTCTCCGAACAAAAAATCAGCGATTGATCAATGAATTGGTTGATGACGGGGTTAGTAATCATAGCTTGGTTTCTTGCTCGTTTGCTTGTCTGCATCATCCGTTATTCAGATGTTCACAGTGCGCCAGCGGCCGTGGCGGCATGCAGGTTAAACATATCGGCAGCGGCAGCCGCAGCCGCGGCAGCAGCAATGGGGTTGAGAGCGGCAGTCGGGAGGCACAAGTGAGTGTGCGCGGGGTGCGCAGGTTGCACTCCCGCGTGACTGTGGGGCGTCGTCGTACTCATACCTGCGAACGGGTAGCCAAATCCTGTAGGGTAGCCAGGGTATCCGCCTCGACTATAACCATACGCCGGAAAGCCAGCTGAAATAGAAAGAAAACCGGAATGTTATCATGGATACAGTTTGTCTCCTTTCACCACCCCTGACATGTTCTTGTTTTTCGGGTACGCGCGTCGGTAGTCGATATCGCTACCCGACATGCTCTCATGAATGGAGCGAGGCAACCTGGGCATTCAAAGTGTAGGAGCAGTGGAGGACATGATCTGGAGTGGTCAGGATGAAGCGCCGAGGTAGCGAAGTGAGATACAACCAGAGCGGCGCCGGGATGCCGTGAGAGATAGTGAACGAGACCTTAATCGAGGGTAAATGCGACTCCTCATACGGGCGGAGCTTGTTCCCAGGGCGATGCCCCTATCCCATGCCCCATGGTGCCCAATCTGGAGGAACCGTCATCCGACAAGACGCTGCTTGTGAGCTATAACAGCGCTGTAATGGAGGGCCACGTGATCGAGGGGAATCAAGCGGTAGGAAGAGATCACATTTGAACAATTCAGCGAGGGACCTCGATTCATTGAGATAGACTCATGGTGATGATGGGGCCCGGTATTCCGTCGATCGATGCACTCAGCTAGCGAGCGAGTTCCGACTTAGCTTCTCTCTCAGTTGCATTTCCTCTCGCTCATCCGCCCATTGCTGTGTTTCGGCCGAAAAAGAATGAACGATCGGGGTGAATCGGGGACAAAGTGGATGGGAGAAAATTCCCTCTCTGGCTCGTCATTCTCGCCCGCGACTACCGCTGCCGTGCAATGGGGGGCTTTGGCGCGAATGGGAGGGCGAGAAGCTGGTGAGAGAACGAACGAAGCAGAGAGGGAGGGGAGGCTGGAGACAGGAGGGGATCGAAGGCCCGAAAGAGAGGAGCCCGAGACAAGGGAGGAAAGGACAGAGAGAGGGAGGGACACAAAGAGCTTCATCGGGCTGCCGCTTGAGCGCCTGCTCCGTGACTCTGTCGAGCGGAGGAAAAGCCAGCCAGCCCGCCCGTTTGCCCGCCCGCCCATTGAACCGGGGAGCCTGAGATGAATCAGGCAAAAAAAGGACAAAAGATTTGTGGAAACGCCGATAAGTACTTCGTATAATGAATGGTCGCGATTGGATTTTCCTCCCGAAAGCTAAAAAGTTCACCAGACCCGCCGCGGAGAAAAACAGAACAGACGGAGAGCCTTCACTCAGGCAGACAAACGTACTTTGTACTGCAGACTGACAGACGGACAGACTTGCGGACTGACATGGGGCAGGAGGAAGACAGGGCGGAGAGAAGATGAAAAGGGAGAGGCAGACAGCGACAAGGATGCAAGCGGGGAGATCCTCAGCCACAGCGCGGTGCCTGCTCTCTTGACTCGCCCGAAAACTCCGCAGTCGGTCAATCCAGACTCGGATTCCCTAGATTCTCTCGATGATAATGTGACAACGTCGGCGTAACGATATACGTATGGAGCTAAGGGGACAATCATTCTCAGGCCGGAGAGGCACTCGCTGTCTTTAGTGAGTCGCGATAGCGAAAGCCGCAAGCGGAATCAGTTCACTTCATCGCATCGCTATCCCAGCCGCGCGAAATCATGCTCAACCTCGTTCCGATCGAGTCTATTCACCGCATTTTTTCCCATTGTACAAATGCGAATGTCTAGGCGCCCGGTGACTTGTCCCCTGTGCGAAACTGGGGCTCGTACCTCCCTACAATTCTCTTCACTGTAGGCGACCAATCGGTCGTTGATCGATGATACTCTGACGGCCCTTCGATGGGACGACTCGCGAATTTTCAATCGCGATGTTGGTAATCCTCCGCCTAACTTGATTCGTCTGACCTCGAGCATTCCCCGGACTGCCCTCCCCGCAAAGGGAGAACACTTCATATACCCCGAGGAGGTAAGCCGAGGGTTTCCCCGGGTAGGATCCAAGAGGCCTCGCGAGGCGACCGGGACAAATCTGATGATGAGAGGATAGGTACCCTAGAATCCCCCGCATAAGCAACCCCGACCTTCACGAAATGCCCGGTATAAGCAACGTCGTGTGCAAGCAAGCATCCTCACACCACGGCATACAAAGCTGCTCATAAGGAAGATTGGTTTCACGCGAGGTTGCTCATGAGAGGAAATGCTCACGAGAGGCGTTGCTCTTATGCAGGATTCCAGGGAATTCTTTCAATCGCAATAAATGACCGTTCCGTACTTACCTTCAGTAAGAGCACCAAGAGGCCAAACCAGTTCTGTGGGAACAAGGTAGGAAATCATGAGTTCTCAGCTGGTATCGTGCATTTGCTCACTAGCTCTGCCGCGCTTCCGTCTCGCGAAAACGTCACTATAGAACATGAAGGAATGCGTCTTGGGTCTGGTCAAACCGGGAGACCTTCCACTCACCTGCACCCCTTCCTCGAGCGACGCTATTTGGCATCATGACTTCTTTCGGTTGAGCTTTTTTGCACTCGACCTGTGTGATTACGATTGTTAACATCGAGTTGAGGTTGCAATGTATCGGAAGTTCGTAGGAAAACGAATCGGATCGATGAGTATAGGATCCAAATATTGTGCACCTGTCCGTCTATATGGACTCGAGTCGAAATCTCAGCATCGATAGAAGCTCACCATTTTGTTATTTATTTCGTGGAAGTGGACCTCGCAGACTTTGTCGACGACGTCTTCTAGCTCGAACGTGACAAAGCCGAATCCTGGAAAGATGAAGACCGAGCATTTTCAGCTGGCATTTCACAAGGCGGGTGATGGAACTTTCTCCACGCAAAGCTTTCCCCGCGACGGCGGGGGCATCGATTCCGACTCCGCGCTCACGTCTAGACTCCAAGGGTCAGGTTCCTCGGGAGTTGGTATCCTCTGCCAAGCTTGACCTCAACGAAGCATACGAGAGGAACAACTGAACTAAACTCCCGCCAACAGCTAATAGGTGGAGAGTCGGCTCTCCGGGAGCATTCGGTTGACTATCGGATTTTCCCTTCCCGCACCGAAACATCTGCGGTGCGAGGCTCTATAGCAGGATCGTGGAGAGGCGGCAGTAAGCTGCGTGACAGTCTCGGAGTGCGTGAAAAGCTCGGACAGCAAGGAACGAGCAACAGCAATAGTGGACGCGGAGCGTCTGCTGAAACTCTATTCCGCGACTGCGCTATTTCAAACCGATCCATCCACAATTCACAACTCATCGCATCATTTCTCCGAAGAAACACTTCCGAAGGATACCGAAATACGGCATGGTTTGTCCATTCGGAGTCAGCTCGACCAGCCTCAACGATGACGGAATCATCAGTTCCCCTGAATGAATGAATCCTCTTGCTTGCTTGCAGTTTTCGACCGTGGTGCTTGTCTGACCGTTCATGATACCCACACCTGACCAGGGGCAGCCAGCGTGGTCCCAGAGGGAATGAATTACCGTAAAAGTTCTAATTGGGTATTATTAACATGAGCCCCACACTCCAGTTGAATTTTCCACTCTTCTGGATCGTGCGTCAATGCATTTCTTCCTATGGCTCTTCAACCTTTTCCTCCTACCTCCCTCTCAGTCCCCCTTCCCCTTTTCGCGCTTGCAGTTACTCTTGAGAATTATAGAGTCACCCCTTCGGGAGCTGCTCACCGAAAAAAAAATTGAAGGGCATGTCCGCTCATTTTGTCCGCTCGCTTACGAGGGGCTGGAGTAACTCGATGTAACATACCATACTGAACCAATCGAATGGGTACCCTAAGCATGCTAATCACTTTGTCGGACAGGCGAGCCGCGACAGAAGTTCGGCTCTTTTCGAAACTCGGGTTGCTGAATTACGACCCTCAAACTGCCCGTCTATTAGAGACTGCCCGTCTATTGGAATATATGTATACGATCGCCGACGATGAATTCGAATTCTATGCCTTGCAGCGACTTATTCGGGCAGCGAAATGAGAACGGAGATCCACCTGGGTAGACGGAAAGAATCGGAGCACGTCGCCATAGGGAGCCTGGCATAATACGAGCTGAAGCATACGTGACGCTCCGGATTGTTTGAGTCTACAACATACAATGATTATTCCTATCGTACATGATTATGTTCACGTCTTCGAGTCGGAGTGCCTATCCCTCCACGAGACAGGCCCAATCTCTCTCCGACCAAGGCGCAAGGCTCAGGTCATCGCGTCCGCGAGTCTCAGGCGAAGGATGTTACCCTCGACATGAAAAAACTGCCGACTATTAGCCGAAACACAGATCTCCATAAATCACGATCGCCACCCTGGACTCTCCTTGTTCGCGACGCCGACCAGGACTCGAGGAAGCCTTCCATTTTTTTGGCGGAAACGTCATCCGCCAAAAAAGAGCCGCCGTGTGCTCCGCCAAAACTCTCCTTCTAGACTCTCCCCCTCCGCACGTATAGCGCGACCGTGTCAACCATCCTCAATCCAATACACTTGCACGACACCATGGAGCCTTGAACAGCGCCATATCAGCAGTCTGCTGTCGGGAAATTTTCCTATTAGAGCTGTCGTAGATATGGATACCAAGCTCATCTACGAGAATGTCCGACAGGATCCGCATCATCTTCCCGCAAGAGAAACTGCAGATTGGCTCCACCCCCTGGGTGATCAGTTTCTCTCTGTTTTAGGATTTTCCTCTCCGAAGCCACAGTCGAAGACGAGAACAAGGCACTGCGCTGGGTTCAGATCATTCCTGTCCGACATGCGCAGACGCGTTGAATCGTGTTTTTCTTCTGTGGAGCGGCTCACGAAGGATTGACCCCGCAACTCTCAGGAGGGAACTCTGAGAGCGGAGGCGAGAGAAGAAGAGAGGGCAAACGTGGAAGAGCCGAGGGGGATGCGTCGACTAGGAGTACCGTAGGAGGACTCCTCGGGACGGCCAGCGTCCTCAATGCCAACAATGCTCCGGTTTCGATTTCCATCAAATTGGGCCATTAATGTCGAAGATCGAAGTCTCGTAGATCTGAGGAACAATCGTGTACAAGTCCGTGCGATATCGGACACATCAGGTCTCCTATCTCTTGGATAGATGAACGTCGGAGACTAGAAGATTCTGGTATTGCCAATAATCTCAAGCGAAGGACTGCGTTTCCGAATTCGAACCGAAACTTCTCGATATATTGAAGTTTTCGACCGTCAATGAGATGAGGAGTTGCACTTCTCTGAGTGATAAAGTCGTCCGGATTTGGAGCAGAAATCGGGGGAACATTCTGAAAGGAATCATCTCCGCAGCCTTGATAGCTCATGTGGGAATACATCTTTGAGCCATCAAGACTCAAGATTAATGCGAGAGTTGATTTCTAATCACGCATACCAATTATTTTTTGCGCCAGCGCCGGTCCGACTTTGCGTGTTCGAGAGCATTGGTCCGAACCACGCGTGAAATGTCGCTCTAGAGAAAAGACCCAGGAACCCCGGTACTTTTCTCATGGAGGCTTCGGAGACATGCCGTGCACGAGACCCGGTTCGGATAAAGGGAGGGATTTGTGCAGCATCAAGACCTCAAGAGCTTCCCCCTAACTCGGAAGGCAAAGAGGGGGGAGCGGTAGGGGGCAGCAATGAGGGACGAGAGGCGAGCCTCAAATACTCCAGCGTGAGTCTGACAAAATTTGTCTCGTATCACCCTACCGCGCCGTGCAACCGTGCTCCCACGGAGCCCGCTGCGAAAGTCCTTCACCCGAGCCGCTGCCGTTATAGGTGATAACTGATAACAATGTTTGCCTACATTCTACGCCCCTGTTCGGGTATATTTGTTCCGGAGAGTCCCCATCAATGACCCTGGACAACGGCATGAGCAGACAGTGTCCCCGTTGTCTTGTAGTGAAGATCCCATCGATTCAGGTTGAAGGCTAACAACGACGGGAGTCCAAGGAGAATGATCATCCTCCAAGACGCGACGATCCATGGATGCTCTTGGTAAGATTTTCCGTATCCGTAAGTCTTCGGGTAGTGGATTTCCCCCCTAATTATGAGCATCCTTTCGCTTCGGGAAGAACTTTAAGCCTTCATCCAATTTTTCTGTTCAGATTTTATTCCGAATATCTAGGCTCAATCCGAGTGGGGAACGGAAACAACTCGGCCGTCCCGTCGTAGAATCTAGGACAGCTCATCCGAGAGGGATCCACGCGCGGTCGTTCTCTAGGAGTTCTCTCGTGACGGAAGGCGCACAACGTAGAGAATTCTATCACATAGAAATCTGTGATACGGTGCAGAAGTTTTCAACGCTTGATCGTTTCAATCATGACACTCCACGAGAACAGTCCAGACTATCCGCCGCGGTGCCCGGTGGGCGCTTACATGGTAAGCGAGCTCGACATCGTGCGGCCGAGATTGCTTTCCGAAGACGTGGGAGTCCCTGCACCCAGCCTGACATGCTCGCCCATGTTGATAGCGAGTTGCCGTGACTTGGCGCTATATCAAGCGACGAAACTCACTGCGATGACGGACCTCCCAATACCGCTGTCCTCGTGATGCGGTCTGACCCGCGTTTTCGAATGGGCGGAAGGGAAATCACGTTCATCGGAGGCGAACTAGACCGGTGGTTCTTACCGGGTGCGAGCTCCGTACCGGACTCGCACGATTTCCGCGGTTCGCAGCCTGAACCAAGGTGGCGCATATTTCTTCTCAGTCACGAGGGGCTTGAAATCGAAGAGTAAGGCACATGTCCGGCCTCTGGTTCTCACTCCCGATGTGATCATCGGCTATACGTATGCTTTTTCAAGTGAGCTACGTGGCTCCCCGTGGAGCAGAGCGGGTCCGGACACCTTCATAGGATCCCACGAGAGGGGCCAGGCCACCCATGGATGTCATGCCCGAGGCTCATGGGGAAGCGCGGGCCGGAAGAAAACTGAAACCACCCGTTGCGCACGAATGACAAGGCAACGCAAGCTCTAATAAATGATAAGTAGATATGAGACATCTTGCATAAACGCTCGATGTCATTGGACCTCCACGCATCTACTTCAGACGCTCATCCGTTCCAGCGAGACCTTTTCCAGAGAGGGGAGTCGAGCTCCATGAGCCTCGGTCTGGTGGGCTAAGATGTCTCCGCGGGCCCTGTGGACGACCGCTCACCTCCCCACCCATGTAGGAGAGTGATCGGAAGTCCAAAGCTGTTCGGCACTCACGAGCATCGACCAAGCGACAACTAGAAAAATTCTGACTGAGACCAGGCGGCATGCCGTGTCCTCAGTCGATTTGCTTGGCGAGGAACGGTGCCCCGTGCTCCATAACGTCTTGTTGGGTGGAGCTCAGCGTCCCTTTGTTCAGTTGGTCGGCCGCTGCTAACATAGGTAGACCGAGCGAGCGGAAGACAACTCGACTTACAGACGGACGAAAGACGGGACGAGCGAGGGAATGACTTCACATTGACACATTGCCACTCTGCCTCCTAAAGACAGGTTAAAAGGACCAAGTGAGTCCGTGCCGAATGCTTCATGCATTCTCTCCCTTACCGAGGTGACGGGTGACCTTTTGACTTGTACTCGCCAATTCCGATGTGAAGTTCTTGGTTCTGATATATCTCTCACGGAGGAGTCTATTTAGCGGTACCTCGAGACAAGAATTCGGTCTTCGGACACGGATCGTGTGCCATTGCCTCGGCGCCGGGGACGCAGAAGCATCGAGACAGTCTGAGTTCAACTAAGAGCGAGCTGTCCACGGAGCGTCTTCCCGGAGAAAGCGTTGCATCGGGCCGGACGGCTCTAGTAGCTGAATCGCCAGATTGGTTCCCCGCTCGTTCCTTCTCAGTCAGTGCGGCGAGCGTCGCAATGGGTCAGGACAGTCATCAAGTTAGACGCTGGCTGTAGGCACAGGAACGGTGAGGGTAGCGGACATGCAAGCGGGGAGGGTTTTCTGACTTAGAAACGCCCAGTCACTCCCCAGCTGCTGGTATAACGACGGCGTCGGCGGCGATCAGGAAGGCTACGTGAGAGAGCTTGTGGAGAGGAGGAAGGTGAAAAGATCGGGAAAAAACGTCGCCCCTGGCTCAGAGCCAAACCATGGCGGATAACAGCAGCTGCTCTGTGAGCTGTCAGTTCGGCGAGCCGCCAGAGCACCTCGATGAAAATTTTCGGAGCTGTGAGCGGGCTCCGTGAGCTCGTCTCTTCGGTTGTTCGGAGCGATTCCGGCTTTGCGCCCTGAAAAATGTTCCTCTCTATCGTGCGAGGGCGGTGGGGACAAGAGCAAGGTCTAATGATTCATGGCAAGCTTTTGAGAAATCGCTCGCGGACGAGTCGCCTTTTCCCCGTCTCGGTTCACGAATCGACCAGTCCTGAAGCTCCTCACTGACGGAGAGTGGGGACGTCTTCGGAAATAACGACCAGCGCCGTGTCGGACAACCTTGTCGCGTGCCGTTAGCGGTACAGTCGAGCTACTCTACCAAAGGCCGGCCGCTGAACCAGCCAATGAGGCTCGAGGGGGGTTCGGGCGAAGGAGAAGATGAAGCCGGATTCAATTTATCTTCATCTGGTCGTCCGCCGAGCAACGGAGCAGAGTAGAGGCTCGCAACTTGCGGCGATGCCGAGGGGAATCTACGCCCTCGGATGCTACGCGGCAGACATACAAGACTGGGCGTAACAGTGGAGCCAGGTATCCTCTCTTGTCCGGACAATATGAGAATTCGGGAACCGTAAATCCATCTAGCCTGGGGTATGAAGGCTCGCGGCAGGAAAAACCAGGAACAGGAATCTGCTTGGGTATAATCGCCCTCATGAGCAGCCTTGAATTTCTGGATAAAAATAGCTGGGAATTCCTACTCGGGAGGCTCCGTGGGTGGAAATTTCCTCGAACACGATGCTCTTTCCACGAAGCGTACCCCGCAGGCGGCCGCATCCAGCGGAAGAATCGTGCTGAGGAACAGCACAATGTTCCCTTCCTTTCTGCGGTCTTCAGAATTCCTCCTACGCCGACCTCTAGAGAGAATCACCTGCGGTTGTCTAGATTCGTACGAGGATATGTATTTGAAGGACGACAGACTGAAGCTCATTCCGGGCGCGCGATACCAGAGCTCGAGGGGAGCAGCGAGTCGTATTAGTCTCAGAGAATGTTCAAGTCAAACGGAGGAATGACGACTACGATGAGGTGCTAAGAGGATTCGGGCGCGAGGAGCGTGGTGGCTCATGACTAGAGCTCGGAAGTTCAGGCACTCAAAAGTCTCAGAAATGGCAGGCGGAAAGGCACTGAAACCCCTCGATGAAGGCACCGAAACTAGGCAAAGTAGGCGTTATAGGCACGAAAACAAACGCATCGAAGCGTCCATCAGTGTCGTACTGTGAGAACTTCATGTGGTGACATGGATTCCCATCGGTGAGTAATCGACGCCGTTCTGATACGAGCATTTTACAAGGACGAATTTTTTTTGCGCGCTCTGGCGGAGCATCGGAACTTGTCGAGAGCAAGATGTGCTCCTGGAAACTAGGTTCGCCGACCTCATCTCATCACCGTTCTCAATAAGAAACCCTCAGTTTCCCCCGAAATCCTCGGAATTCGGCCCCTCAGAAGCTCGAAAAGGCACTCTAGGCACGAAACAGGCATTTTACATCAAAAAATGCCGAAAAAAGGCAGATATAGGCATTCAAGGCATAATGCCTGAACTTCCGAGCTCTACTTATGACTTATGACATGTCGTGTTGTACCGCGCATGTATACGGTAGGAGGGCGAAAACGACGTCAAGCGTGCTCTTTCACTTCACGCTCGTCCCCCAAGAACGCATGGAGAGCGTCGGGCGGGGTCCAGCTTCACATAAAGTAAGAGCACAACGGATTTCGCTTTCTGAGAGGAAAAATGGAGGGCAATCCATCTTGAAAGCTCGGCATGGCTGTGAGACGTAGATGGGCGAGAGCCGACATAGAAGGAGAATTAGCCGCCCACGACCCACGACGTGCCATTCTTGCTTTTCAACCGGCGAGTCTGCTTGTCCCTGCGTGCGTTTGCCCGTCCCTGCTTTTTTATCATTTGTTCTCTTCGCTCGGCCGATCTACCTTCCGGAGACTGAATAAGCTGGTGGGCAATCTCGAGAGACGATGGAGTAGCGAATCATCATCGAAGCGTTCGCGAGCTGTCCCAGTGGAGCTTGGGAATATTGGAAGCATTCTTCGCCGAGGCTCACTAAGACTCATTAATGAAACGAATCCACGAGGGTCGACATCAGTGGTGGGTGACGATCAAAATTAGCAGGATGAGCTCCATATTCATCGTCAGCACTCTCGATCGATGAATTCCTCCTCGCCTCCGGTGGTCAAATACTCAGCGAGTCCTTGCAAAATAGGCCCGGCCCGAGCCCCTTCAGAAGAAGAAAATGCCTTCTTGGTAGAAGCTTGTCTCGACTCGGATGCGATACGCCCATCATGATATTCTAACAACGCTGAAATGTATTTCTCGGATTCCGATTATGTTCGCTAATAGCCTCGACGAATTGGCTGGTCTCGATGTAAATCGTCAGTTGTACGCGTTCGCTCCTATATGTGCTGACTCGAGCCACCGATTCTTCGCTTCTCCATCTTTTCTCGGACGAACGATGGGGACGACCGTGGCATCAGGTCGGGAGCTCGTTCCTCAAGGAGTAGGGTAGATACCGCCCTCTTGTGGCGAAGCTCAAAGTTCTCACACGTGACGTCACTGAGCTGATGGCCGGCTGCGTGGCTAACACGCGATCGTGAACCTCCGGATTGTAGGGTTGAAACGACTGAGCGTTCAGGCGAGCAAGGACTCAGCGACCAAGCTCGCCTCCCCTTCCGCTCTCTCCGAGTCGGTCCCATCGTGGAGCTTCGTTTCCGATCTCGATAGTGACGGAATATTCGGTCATTTCGCAAAGTTCGGGAATCTCCGGCGCATTCGTTCCGGAATATGTTTTTCCTAGTTTCGCCCCCGCGTGATAACATCATCCAGTACCGGGAAGGAGAACTCACCTCTATGTCGATTCGTCTGCTTATCAAACATCAGCATAGCGTCTTCTATCTGTAAGGATTCGAAAAGGACATCGATTTAGAATCTGGGAGATATTCCACCGTCATCCGGCGTTTAGGGGCCCAGACTAGGACGATGGTCCGGAGGCTTTCGGTTCTGACGACGGTGACCAGGTAATAATCTTAGTGATTCGGAAACAGTTGGGGCTCGGTTACCCGACATAATGACAGTTTCGTGGTGTCGCATCTAGCAAACAAATGAATGAGCGAGCGCGCACGAGGCTACGCGGGACAAGGCCAGCAAAAGTCAATGAGTTCGTGGAGCGGGAGTATCTGCATCAGCCATTCTACTCTTTAACGAGTTTGAGAAGAGGCAATCAAGAAGTTCGAAAACTCCACCCTCTTGCCTGCCGCAAGCCCCAACCGATAGTCAGGACGTCAGGACGGAGTAGCGCCGCCAGCCGGGGGAGCACGGCAGGCAATGAGGCCGCTCGGCCGCCTCGAATCGAGCGCATGACGATACGAGCTGAAGACTTGGCGACCGTCGAGAGTCTAGATAGCTCACTGCTGCATAGTCAGCCAAGTCGTACCCTGGATGGGGAGACCTCTCCAAGCTCGCTGTTCGACGGAGTCTGCTCATTGACCGATGACGACTCGCGTGGAAGAGCCTATCGAGCCACAAAATTTGACAAGCCGGGCTCCGATATGCCGGTTCAAGTTTCATGAGAATCTTCGTCTTCTACGATCCGAGCTATTTGGAGATTCGAAATTCGCCTCGTCACGGTAGTAGCCCATCATCTTGTCTGGAGGGGTTCCTCAGAACTCGGAACTGGTTCTTGCTTGACGCGATAGAAATCAATCAGTACTCAAAAGCCCGAGATTAAATCCGAGAGAAGAATTCCAGGGAGGGCGCTGGATTAATTGCCATGACGATGGTACTTTGCTGAACCATCGTAGTCGACCTTCCTCACTGACCTGGTTCTTGCCTTAGATAGCCAGGGGAACTCGCTACAAAGGTGCCTCCAAGCAGAGCCTGCGAGCTTCCATCACGATCAAAATCGATCAAAATGATGGACGACGGCACATGTCTCGAGGAGATCGCGACGACATGACTAGAAGAATTCTTCTCCCTCACGTAGGACTCCTAATGGTCAAGCATTGTGGCGAGCGACTCGGTGTGAAACGCCCACTGACCAGCTCCTTCCGCTGCTTCCAGAGTGCAACTCGAACATGCTTATGAGCAATGTCAAAGACGGAAATCTTGGTAATTCATCTCAGAATTCCCCCGCTGGTAAAGCGGTAAGAAAAATCGATGCTCATGCCGAGATTCATCACGTTTTTCTATCCGGAAACTCTCGGGACCTTCCGGCTCCCGTAGACTTCTAGCTGGCCAGCCCCTGTCATGTAGCAGTCTCCTACCCAGAGCGACTCGCAAACAGTGTAATGCACCCTTCAACGCCTGAAATCACCAAGTACGAAGGTAAAATCGTGTCCATTCCATCAGAACCTTCAGTATGAGCATGCACATCCAAATGAGCCAGGGAAAAGCTGGTCCGACGGAAAACTTGGAAAAAGTCCGCGCATTGAGTCTCCCGGCTTCGATCAGCCGGGAGTCGCTCTTCCTTAGTTTTTAAAGTTTCACCCTTCTCGGGGGTATCGGGGGTATATGGATCCCAGTACTTTGAGTCCCAGAGGGCCGATTCCAGACGCGGGGCCCGCGAACCATGTCGGAGTCGTGTCTTATTCGAAGACATCGTGGGGGAGAGTCCCATCTACTCTTCACGCACCACATATGACTCCGGTTCCTCGACCCTTCTCTGCGCAATAGAGTATTATTCGTGAAATTAGACTCCAGATGGGTATCGGAAAGCTTCGTGAGCCAAACATTGAAATTGAAGCCCGTAAACCGAATTCTCTTCGATAGCCGGACACTCTCTGAGTGTATCAGTCACTTCTATGATACGGGCACCTCGCGGGAGTTCGAAAGCGTAGACGGACATCTATGATATACGGGCGATCTCTGATAGTCGGGCATGCAGTTCGACGCACTTCCCGGGACCGAATAGGAAAAAAGGGCACTCTGCAATATTCGGGCTCCCTCCCGTCCACGGGCATGTTCGAGGAGCTCGAAGAATCGATGAGGAGGGCCCATTCTCAGAGAGGATACGCTTGCCGCGGGACGAGAGAGCCCCAGTCGCCGTAGCTTCCAAAGCATGACCCGATCATCAGCTGTTCGAGCTCCGGGTGCTGTCAGTGACAGGAGACTATCGAAAGTATCTTCCGGAAAGCGCTATCCGGAATCGACGCACACACAAACATCCCTCTTAAAAAATGCACGTATCTTTCCTCTGACGCTCTGATTATGGCTCACTCGCTCCGGATACGTACCCGACCGAACTGTTGGAAATAATTCTTCACGTCTTCGAGAGTAGTGGGTGCTGACAGGCCTCCTACGAATACTTTTTTTGTCCGCGTTACCATCTGAAAGGTAGAATGTAGAAGCTCAATACCATTCTCTACACCGGCCGGTATCGGACACAGGATGCCATCATTGTATTCAGAGAGGGACGCGTCTCTCGAAAAATCGTGCAATGCTATACGGTTAGTTGTACGCCTCCCGAAAATCGAGTATATATTCTTCCAGAAAGACTAGGCTGACATTCTGGAGTCTACTCGTCGCTGCCTCATCGACCGCATGTTCTCCCTGGAATCCCCCGGGGCTCTCCGGGTCGCGAAGGGACCGGTACGCTCCCGACCGGAAGGATGGTGGGGCCGATTGTTGGCGATCTGGGGTGGTGACCGAAGTGCTCATTTCTACGACCGCTCGAGGGTCGGGTGAAAAGCGTATGCTTGAGCGTGAGTCGTAGGGACGGGTGAGTGTGTCGAGAGAAAAATTGCCCCCTGAGCGAGGACGCGCAGAATGAGAAACACAAGCAACAGCAGCTCTTTGAGTTGAGGGCCCCGTTAGCAGCAGTCGACAGTGTCCGCATCGACGACGCCCGGAGCGGGATTCTTCTCCACTGAATTCCGCGGAATCGAGGCAATCCAAAACGTCTTCGCCCCTCCGATGGGTTGGTATCTCTGAGTGAGGGGGCTTCCGCCGGCCGCTCCGTTCTTCAAGCTGTCGTCCTTCAACCCGCCAAGGATTCGATCAACAGTCTGAATTTCATCCTCTCCTCTCCCCCTCTTTCCGGGAGCGAACGCTCTGCGCCCGGGGCACTGTAAGGGATCTTCTGGAAGCACATGCTCATCAGAGGATGGACCGCCATGTTGTGGTTCGTATGATGAGGCGCCACAGACCCAACGAACTAGCAGGAGAGAGGGCAGGCGTTTAAAGGAGAATCATCGAATCTACTCGAACAAGATTCGGTCGCCGATGTTCGAGACTCATTCCGGGGATGTCCTTTCGATTCGGTCCCTCCAGAAGTCGGGTGCCTCGTCGCCTGCTCACGACTTTGGAAGCTCCACCCAAGAAACTTGACTCTTCCCTACGGCTCATCCGCTCGAAGCATTCGCGAGCAGGTGTTCATATCGATTCATTCGGGGTGACCGCGAATGGGTCCAGTGGCGACACCTGCGTCGGAGAAGTTGTCGCCGTGACTTCGGGTCCGGATCGAGCGCTTGCCCTGCCGATCTTCGATGGCTTCGGGAGCCTAGGATGAATTCCGCGAATCCCGCGAATACCTCAATCTATGACCCCCCCTCTGATTCTCCGGCCATCACCCCAAAGAATGATGCCCAGGAATAATTGGAGCCGCGACCATATGTTCGTGATTCTGAGCAAGGAATGGTCACCAAGCCAAAATAGACCGTCCGTTCGCAACCGCCGAGGTTCTCCTTCTCGGCAAGTCATGGACTGATCGAGCTTTTTGGCATTTCGCACGGCAAAATGGCGGCAGGCTCCAGCAACGTAAAGTATTGCATGCACTTCGGTCGCATAGCGGGCACGAATCCCCTCTCGGAGATTCATTGGCTATTTTCCTCCGTACCAAAGTCTTCATTCAAGTGGTGATTGTAGCGGCAACTACCTCATCGATGCATCGCGAGCATACACTTTCCGGGAGAAACTCAAAAAATAATCAATCGATAATGAAAATCAGAGCGGGAACCTCTAGTGCGTAAAATCTGTCCACGAGCACGCCTGATCCCTAAATCCTTGCACCCGCTGTTCCACTCACCTCTGAATTCGCCGCAGCTTCAGGTATTGAAACTGTCCCCGCTAGAATATACTTATTCAGTTTTGCGTCAAGCGCTAATTCGAAGGCGGCGGCAGCGAGTTGTTCAGCAGGCGAATCCTGCCATCGGGAAGATCAGCGAGCGGTAGGATTGTCGCGAAACGAGCAGATGAATCATCCATCATGATCAATAGCAGCGGCAGAACGATCATCGATCACCATCATTGAAATTAAAGTTAAACCACATGAAATGAAGCGGATGAAGGATGCGCTGGTGAGAGCGATGACTCACATTCAGGAGGGAACAAACAGAAGGAAACAACTCCAATGAAATATTTTCATCAATGAATACATATATTTGGTTACATAGAGAGCCTACTATATATTGTATGGCGATAGTATATGGTATATATATCACGGGACCTCTCTACGGACGGCTGGGATCTGGATTCTTTTTTCCAAGACAAAATGAATCCCGAGCGTGAATGATTACACTATCCGACATGCTCGCTCGGCATAATTGAATGAATTGACGTCGCATGCGCCCATCACAAGCTGATTGAGAATTACTGAAGCAGGCGGGGGATTTGGAGGAGCCCCTCGAAAAAAATTAGCTTCCCTGAAGGTATAAGCGGGCGGTCATTCAAGGAGATAAGTTTCTCAGCACAGAGTTGAGAAAAAAATGTTTAGAATGGCTGCTCCTCGTTGGCTCGCTCAATGTTATTTCGAGCGATATTGAAATCGTTTCTTAGATCATGCATTCATTGAGGCAAGGAAGCTATCATGAGTCCAAAAGTCTTTTTTTGCGAGTGGAGTGAAGATTGCTCTATATGCCCCTGAGTGTCTAGCGCGGAGAAGGTGAGCAGGATTCCCCAACAGAGAGACCTCAAGCCACATCGGCATTTGCGTTCGACACCGAAACAGAGCAACAACACGAGAAGGGCTGGCCGAAGCTGTTCGAAAAGACTGATGCTGCATGACAATTGATATCAAAGCTCGATTCATCACTGCGTGAGGATCGGCACGTGGGAGACAACCCTTGATGTCGTCCACTGCTGGCGGACCCGGTTCGTCCCTAAGCTTCCGTGGGTTTGGCTCAGTCTTCGCTGAGCTATCAGCCGCAGCACGTGTGCTCGCTCACAAGTCCGCCTTCCCGATTTAATTCGCTCTGATTCGCTCACTTTCTGCTCGAAGTTGACTCTTGACTTCGACGAGAGCGGTAGCTGTGACGGCTATCGCACACGCATGCATTTCCAGCATGATGGAGAATCTTACTAGGAGCAGCAGTCCGGAAAACTGCTATTCGAGCTGGAGCTTCGTGCCGCGACTCTGCGCTCGCTCGTTTCTCTGACGAAAGCCATCGTCTCTCGCGAAAATAGCCGCAGAGAAGCAAGAGAAACAGACTGAAGTCCAGATGTTGGGGAAAATCACGCTGGCGACTCTCAGCAAGCCGAATACATCAGAGATCACTATTCCCGTCAGGACAGATACCTTCCTCTACCTCCTGTTCATTCCTTCGCTCTAGGTGAACTCCTGCATATCTGTAGAGTCTGTTTGTTCGCGCAGTTTCCCTCTCGGCGTAAGCTGTTCATCTCAACCCGTTTTTATCCAGGGAATTGAAATCCCTTACTGACGCGCGGGCAGCATAACTATTCGCTGCATCTGGAAAGCGCGGCAAACCGAGTTTTTTTTTTCAAAGGATAACTGTGATTTTTTCAGGGATAACTTCCGCGAAAATCCTGGAGGTCGGGGGAACTGATGCTCGAAGATCCCGCGCTCACGGTTCCGGATCTCAGAATCTACACCGAAACGCAGCTTGGGGGAGGGACCTATTCTAGCGCACGGATGGCGACGACGCTCGACTCCGCCACCGTTTTCTCGCTTAACAATCCCCCGTCAATTTAGGTGATTTTTCGGGTTCCTTGGTAAAATCTCCTCGCTCACCGACGACTGTGGCGAGGCAGCGCAGGATCGCCTAACGCGATTGAATCTCATCGGGATAGCTGGTGATCGCTCTCAGAGGAATTCGGCGACGCGACGCCCCGTCTCTGAGGACATACTTGAGCAGAGTGATCACACAGACCGGACTCGCTTCAAATCAGCTTCATTGAACGAATGTCCGGAGAGAAGGCCCAGAAATGTGAGAATCCATTCTGGAGCGCACCGAGCATGCTTCGACGCTCGAGCGATAGTTTTCATGCTACGTCATCCTCTCAAACGAGGAGCTAACAGACGACGCCTTCGTCCGTATGCGCGACGGATTTGAGAGCATGATTCCCCACGTCTGAACTCAAATCGATGCGTCGGGGTAAAACCAGCCCTGAACGGGAGATGCGGCGGGCCGATCCGCATCAAGTTCGGAATCTCGACAAAGTGCACCGAAGGACAAAGAGGTGTCATCGAAAATCGAGTGTTAGATGAAGCTCGGTTAAGACCGTTGCATGAGCAGAGGGGTACACAACGTCGAAGACCTGCCTCGGTAGGACTCCGCATAGAGTCCTCCCGAAGGACTTCCTAGCTCAAGAGGTAAAGCGTGCTCACCTGGAAAGAAGAAGAATCAAGGTGAACGAAGAATGTGTGCAAGCTCCAAATAATCGCGCGGAAAACCCGACGGTCTTTCTCTCGGAGTTTCCGGCTATGGTTCGTTCGGTCAGAACTACGCTGAGAGACGGCCTTCTCACTGTAGGGGGAAACCGGATCAAGGAGGAGTCGCGGAGCGCTTGCTTCTGCTCACCGGGATCGGAATCGTGTTCGACTTCAGCTCGCTCATACACGAGTCGCGCATAACGGAAGCTTGATCGAGTCTCGCTGCGGTTGAGGCTCCGGCTTCGGTGTATTAGACCGAGAAAAGTCACGAGGGAAGGAGAGGATGGTCTGGGGAGCCAGGAGCCGATTAGCGACGAAGTCGTTTGATCTTGTGGATCCTTCAATCAGCCATCGGGGAAGCTGGACGGCTAGTGTGTGGTTGCGACCCATAAGCTATGTTGCGTGCCCTTCCGAGTTTGCCCACCTTGGAAGCAGCGAACAGAAAGTTTGTCACGGGTCCGAGTGCAAAGCAGACTCATGCTCCCAATTGTTCTGTTCTAGTCCCTCGCTTGGAGGAACGAAGCCTCCAACCTCAGCAAACGAGCCCTTGCTTTCACCCATGTTGTCACGGCTGCATGTTAATTCCGAAGCAATCGAATTTCTGTTTGGAGGGAAGTCGCACATTCTTGGGATACATGGACCCCGGACTCGAGCTCGGAAACATCGCTCGAGGAAGATTGAAATCGCTCGGAACTGTTGACCTTCGACTGGATCGTTACCAAATTTTCTACCATCGCATCGCAAACGCTTCCAGTCGCATCGCAAACGCTTCCACTCGCATCGCGAGCGCTTTCAGCTCTGCAAATATACGATTTTGCTCCGAGATCCAACTTTCCATTACCCTTCGGATATTCAGATGCTCATTTCAGCTCGTCTTCCGTCCATTCCCAAGGAGAGATGTGTTCACGCAGTTCTCACGCACATCGTACGCTTCGACGTCCCCCAAGACTCACAGTCTCCTACCCCAGGTGAATTCGGGAACGGAGTCTATTCTCAATTAAGAACAGCGGAGCTACGCGTAGTGGTCTTCATTCGTGGGTGAACAGAGAACCAAAGAGGTGCTCCGCGCTCGCGGAAGGCCCTCGGGAGCCCTCGAGATCCAGATATGGGTATTCTCCACGCGGACATTGGTCTATGAGTTTACACCTCGCTCCTCGGCCGGGTCTAGGAAAATTACCTTTGGATGTGCGCGTTTTGGGAAGGCGATTTTCGGGTCAATCTGAAACCGAGAGATTCGATCATTAGGTTTGTGTTAGACGCTTCGGATTCAAGAGAAATGGCTTTTGTCACTAGGAATTGCATCTTCATGGGACGCATATTTGCTGATGTAGCCGTTTCCGAGGCCTGAACGCTTATCGCAATATGTATTCCATCTCTGCGCTTAGAGAGTCATACGTAGCGTCTGTCATGTGGCTGTGGATACGGAAAGCGCAGACCCCTATAGTCATACAGATAGTCCGATCGACCTCTCGTGGAATTTAAATGATCAATGGCGAAAAATTGAATCGCTTCCTGCGGAGTTCCTCGCACCTTTCCGGACGTTCGGGGAAGTAATACTTTAAGACGAGACGGGCTCCGTGAAACTGTACTGTGTGCAAGGTGACATGCATGGAATAGTCGGGGACGGACCGTTCGCCTGCGCATGACCCCTTCCAGTCGATGTTCGCTCCCGTTGTGTCTTGTTGAGAGAAAAGGCGGCTTTCACGACGCGAACAAATTTCGGAAATATATTTGTGCTGAGACCGCTCTCTTCTTGGACGCCTCGAGAAATTCGTAGCTCTGGATCAGAGTCTGAATCGTATGACATGTACTTGTCAGAGTAGTGAGAGAAATTTCACAATGAGCTCATGCTTGAGCATATTTTGGACCGTACTTGGTCCTGCTCCCGACGCGAACCTCCCCCGTCCCTCGTAATCACTCGAGAAAGGGTCGAGCCCATATCAGGGAACATTTCCCGTCCCTCGGGGAGAACTATAGTTCGCCGCGATACTTCGCGTGCTCAATACGGCAGGTTTTCCGTACATGCAGAGCGCAGTCTTGTCGTCGTCGCCAGCCATCCGTTGCAATGATGATCTGAAACATCTTCACCAACGCTTCATAACTCATGACGATACGATCTAAAGGGTAGGAGAGACCTCGGCCTATAGGCTAGCCGCCAGGCAAGGGATACGAGGAGGCCCGGGAGACACCGTCAGCGAGCCGCGCCGTACACGCCATTCCATCGCTAAGAATCTCGACAAAGGCACAGCAATCTCCCGAGCTCGTTGTGGTTGGTCGGTTGAGCCAGAATCGCCTCACTCACTCCGCCACCAGTTCGGTCCAGAACCGGTTTTCCTCTGGCGCTCCGTTTATCTTTTACTGAGATCGGTCTTCTCTGCCCGGCGCTCTTCCCCTGTATCCGATTCGTGGCTGTCCTATTGATTAGAATGTCATATAATTCCTTCGCCTTCTCCCAGCGGATACTCCTTGCGCTGTGCCGGTGACGGCATCAATGTTGTGGCCGAGCCAAACTGAAGTTCGCTTGTATCCCTATTGTAGGACAGAGCTGCTCAGGCGGCGGCCCGCGGAGAAATTTCCATGAACGTGGAAGATGCGGCCCGCGAGCAAAATCGTCGGGATTCAGATTGGTGATTTAGAATGCAAACGAGTTGATGCAGGAGCTCTTATCCTATTGAGATGATTCACTTCGTTGGTGGCAAACCTCTGCCGGGATAGCACGGCCGCTGTCGCTCATATCTGCATCGCTGGATTCGTCTTGTTGAGAATGGCGACGTCTCGATCGGGCACACCGACTGAGGACGATCTCATGACAACGATCGAATGATGCTGTTCCCAATGTTTCATATCAGGCACAAGGTAACCGTTATGTCCCCCGGGAACGGGTCCTATAATGAGTGGCCCGAGGCCTCATGGCGACTGACAAATCTGGCCTGCCATAATTTTTACCTGAGCACCCCTCACTGGAGGATGCTCCTTCGCTCGCTTGCTCGCTGCTTCGTCCGTCCCAGGAAATGAGTCAGACGCCGGTCTCAGGACAGATAGGAGACAGAATTCATTCCATGATTAATAATCTGGTGACGATGGACAGTTCTTCACCATGTGATCCCTCCCGATTACCATGCGGGACGCTAGCGATCGAGCTGTCTGACCATCTCACTACATAGTCAACTGAACCAGCGGAATTGGCTGCCGTGGCCGACCGCCGAGTATTGTCGGTAACGTACACTTGTCATCAATACACTTATGATATTAGGAGCGGGGCGCGTGGTCGGCAGCCGTATAGGCGTTTGTAGGCGGGCGGCGTGCTCGATATATAGGGCATCAGTTCGGCTTGGAGCCCCACCGCACGGAACCCACCAAGTAGCCCTGACAAACTCGTTGTCCTGCCGACCTACTAGCGACCATCCAGCCAGCGAACCTCCGATCTATCGAACGATCAAGCCAGCGATAAACTCCATTCGACCGACAGCTATTCAGCCAGCAGCTAGACGATCCGCAGGCTGGCGTGTCCAGTGGCCGGATGGTGTAATGACTGGCTACTTTCTTCCCCAAAGCAATATTTTTAGTTTACTCTCGTCCTCTGCTTCTCAGCCGACGGTCCGCTACGCAGTCTGCGAACTCAACCTCGAACCACCATCGATGTGTCACTTCACATTACATTTGCCGAGTTCGAAGTCCTCCCCAAAAAAAATACGTTGACTTACTATCCAGGGATCGTCAGCCTTCTCTCGAGCAGAGCGTGTGATCGAGCGATGGTCGAGAGAGCCAATCGATCCCTCCCATCATCTCTGCCTTCCCTGGCAGGATTTTTGGCTCCATCATGTTCCCTTTCTTCACGCGTTCGAAAATCGACCCCTTTCACTGTCCATAACAATCATTTGGACGAACAAGCTCCTCGCCCGTGAAGTTCTTTTTCTCCGCGGAACACTGCGAGGTCATTTGGCAAGGCTCCTCATGACATCGCATCGGCTCGGAGCAACATGCGCACAGTCGACGGTCAGGGCGTTCAAAGATATTTTCGAATCGCTCAGGACCTCGGGCAGCGCAGCGTAGAGAAGATTTGTGGACGGATGATTGTTGCCCACGAATTGATCGAGCCATCAATCGGGGAAGGGGGCATTCGCCGGCGAATCAGGGAAGCTTCATTTGTGAGTAGCTTGCGAGCGATTCAAGCAAAAAGATGGGCTTCAAGCGCGCATCCGAGTTAGGGAGCTTCGACGCACGTTTTTCTATCCGCTACACCGACCATTCCTCCGTCGCATCGGGGAAACCGGCCCAGATTCAGCGAAGCGAGCTTGCCAAGCCGGTAGACCCCACCGCTGCTGCCTCGCGGCTCCTGCTACGGTAGCTGTAGCTAACGCTGCTGCTCGAGGTTCCTGTATTCGCAATACGGGCAATATTGGCAATCGATTCCATGAAACTGCTTGTCGGCTTAGCCGAATTCTTTTGACCGATGGCAGACGCGTTTTCGGAAGTGGTCGCCGCGAGAACCGCAGCGATCTTAGCGGCTTCGGCAAGGGAATCAGCTCGGGAAGGTTTTGTTTCAGTAACGACTTTTCCGGTTGATACGAATGAGTACTCCGGCGCTTTACCTTTTTCCCGTCCAGCTCGTGAGGTCCGTTTGCCAGAACTTTTTCTACGCTGGCAGGATCGGCGAATGTAACGAAGCCGAATCCTCTGCAAAGCAAGAAGGGTTCAAATTATTAATTCACTCGAGTATAAATTATGATCGTCATCATGCGAAGTGGAACGGAGGGGCGGTGACGCAGAAATATCTGCAATGTGTCTTGATTTTACCTAACGTTTAGTCGATGTCCTTTCAGAAGTTCAATATCAAGACTATCATTCATCATGCGACTTCGCACACCGTTATCAGCAGTATTCGTGGTCGTTCCGGGGCTTAATTCAGTCTGAGACCAGTTCGGCGCAATAGCGGAGCCTTTCGGTCATCCTTGCAATCGACGCGACGGTCCCAGCATGATACCGGTGGTGTAGAAACGATGGCAGCCTTCATCGGGAACCGAACAGCGGCGAGGGAGCGGAAGAAGCGGGGAAGCCACGAACGACGGTGGAGGAACCGGATGAAAGAGAGTAGGGAATCAATGCCCCCTACTCCTTTCCCATGTCCACTATCGTCGTTTTCTCCTGCTCGAACGCGGCTCCGCTCTCGTCTAGTGTGACGCTCCCCACAATTTCACTCTCTTTTCTTCGATCTCTCTCCTACAACCTCCTATAGCCGATCGGTCCTTCCCCAGCTTGCGGACTTGCTTCCTGGCTCGGTCGGGCTCTCCGCTGCTCACGATGTATGTATGTATGTGGGTTGAGAGTTTTCGGGACAGGATTTCCCTCAACCATACCTAGCTCTCGACTTTCGATCGATTCGGGCTAACAGACAATTTGTCAATGTTGGCTGAGAATCGAGACGGGCAACATGGCGGCTCCGTCTGCGTTCGGAACGTCCGGTCCTCAAGCGGGCCTGACTCGGGCTTTTAGCTTCACGACTCGACAGGGATTGATGCACTCGAGCGTCAAACCGTATCGGGATGGCTCGGTGAAACTTTTGGAGTCCGGGACTCCGGGCGTGTGGATCGTCAGCTATGACATGAGTCAGCACTGGAGAAGCAAGCTCGAATTTTGCGTTCCAATCACTTTGGCGTAGGGGAAGGCGGGACTTTAGGAGAACGGGTAGTGCGGCGAAGGAATCTACATCCCCGTCCCTACATACCTCGGTATTCGTCTCTTCTCGCTCATCGTGTGTTCTGCTCGTACTTAGTGCTATCTGCTCGCCGTAGCGCCCGTAGTCGGAACCCGGATCACGCAAGTCCCGAAATGAGAATTTTCCGCAGTAGAGAAGCCTGTCGTTCCTACAAGCAATCGGTCAGAGAGCAGAGCTCACGGCGGGGCAGAGTAGGGATGCATTCTCACCCCTCGCCACGTAATCTTCACTTTTTTCGTTCAGTCTGCGCTCGTATGTGATAGTTTTAATAGCCCGTTCACCAAATACTTCCTGAGAAGCCTCCGTTCACCGAGTTTGAGTTTGCAGATTTTCTCGATTCGTCTCAAATAGGTGGGTTTTCGGATTTTGAATCAGATGAGCCCGATCACCGAGACGTCGGTGTGATCAATCCTAGTCCAGCTCTGTCAATTACTCGAACGCTGTGCCGCGATATTGCTGGGATCGGAGGGTGCGTGTGAAGTGAATGATACGGAACGCTCGAACAAGGGATCAAACCGGCTGAGGTTTGATCGGCCATCGGCCCTCCTCGCACCAGATAGTATTCGGTGATGCAGCCAGTATCTAGCAAGCTGCTCACCATTATGGATCCGCCCGTTTTCAACTGTATCGGTCATCAGCACCCCCCTGGATAGCAATCCGGCTCCTGCCTGTGGGACAGACAGGGAAGTGGTGGTGGCTAGGTCGATCGGTGAGCGGATCGAACTCATGGAAGAAGCTGGATGGGTGACATTGACTGTCGTAAGAAGATTCTCGTTCGATGATCCAAGAAGCCATCGGCGAGCCACGTGAATCTGATCCTTCGAAGCATCGATATCGTCTCGGTCATGTGGGATCAGATTTATAAAGCAACAACGGATTTCGAATGCCTCGGTCCGGTCGGATCCACTCTGTCCTTTCTCGATTTCTTTAATGGCTTTCATCGAGAATAGTCCCTCGATGAGCACCGCGCAGCCAGCATTCTTGTCCTGTGGACAACGGTGCTCAAGAGTCGGTGTCATGGGTCCGAACTGTGGAGACAGAGGAATATCGAAGGAGCCCCGGACGCGCCGAGGCTCGACGCGGGTGCCCTGCGTATTATCGTCCCCTCAGTCGTGGTGGAGGAGCGCTAGGATGAGGGAATGAGCGACAAAATCGATGCGACTGCACGTCGATTGGTTCGACCGGAAGCTGGTTTTGCAGCGAGCCGGCCACCCTTTATCGGCCAGCGACGACGGAGAGTCGTTCCGAGAACGGGACGCAGCCAATCAGACTGAACGCACGCCGCAGGAAAGATAACGCTCGCCCCAGTGGAAAGCTCGAGAGGCGAAGCGAACATCCAAGCCGACTGAGCGACCAAGCCAGCGATTCTCTGCCGATCCGTTGGAGCGAAGGAGGACGGAATGGAGCGAGAGGATCGACCTTTTCGAGAGGCTAAGTAAGTCATAGTCGGGATCCATTTCAGCAGACAACCCTGTGTTCATTTGAGAATCGATTCATGCAGTCCAATAGAAATTTTCCACCAGGAAATGGTGGGTCCGCCGGCCTCACTCGAGCTCGACTCTCGAGGTTTTCCACTTGGGGACTCATCGGTCATGTATGTATGTACGTATGTCTGCTTGGCTGTCAGGGTTTCTCGGCTGCATGGAGAGCTCCATGATGAAGGAGTGGAACCTATAGCTCTTCAAGTCCTTTTGGAATTTCCCCCTAATGTTGAAGCCGGATCATACAGAGAGGGGGGAGCGCCCTTAACTCTGGAACTCGAATGAGCGGCGCTCTCCTGAGCGATGATATCTCAGTTGGATTGACCCGATTGTATAAGCTTGATGTATCGACAGCGGACGGAGATTCGGTAGAATCTTCACCGTCTTGGTATGAAGCTGCTCGACCCTGCACATCTCCGCGCTTCGGGATTTCGAAATTCTCGCTCCGGACCTGAATTTCGACTCCACACGTGTAGACGCACTTCTACACGAGAACATCATCGCACTCGACCATCGATAGTGTTCCAGCAGATGCCCGAGATGACCTTTCGGATATCCGAAATACGAAGCGCTGGGCGTATTATGCGGGAGAGCTGCTCTCATGTCTTCTTCAACGAATGCTAAGGGATGACGACACGTCGCATGTGGTCCGGTGTCCCACTCGCCAGGCTCAGTGTCGCCACCTCGGGACTCGACAATTGGCGCTGTACCTAAAAACTCAGCATTTTCCAAGAACTCACCTCGATCTTCTCGTGGTAGGATCTTTCATGACCATAACTTCAGAGATTTCACCAAATTTGCTAAAGTATTCCCGGAGGCCCTCTGGAAAGACAAATGGGGATTATCAGGATGGTGGATTGATCGATGAAGCCCAAGAACGTGTTCCGATCTGAAGGAGCGAACGGGATCGATATCCTTCTCCAAACACGCACTAATTCATTGCTTCGACGGCGAGGTGGATCTTGTCGTCGGGGCTGCTATGAGCGCAGAGTTCGAGCCTTCCTGCAAGCCGGTAGCTTCCCGCAGCCATCGATCCGCCGAAAGCCTTTGGGTCATAATCGGTTCTGTACAGACCGCTAGGGTCGAGTGTCCCGAACTAGCCTAATTCCGGCGTCATCCAGTGGTCAGGAATTTGAAAACGAAATTTATTGGTGCCAGAGAACGAAGAGCCTCTCCTTACGTCCCATGCTTGGATAGAGCGCGGCAGGTGATTCGTACGCTGCGGAGCAGGTTTCTCTTCATTTGATCAGTATCATCCCGGAATTCTTGTCAAGTACATCGAGCGGAAATCGTCAGGGGCTCTCCGGTCACCAACGAAGCAAGCGACTTGCTATTATTAGATTCGACATGTGTTTTCTTCGTGAATCGATTATTACGACACTATGTGCCTCAGATGACTGGTGGGAGACCTCAGCAGATCTGAGATTAGTACCGCGCGGGCAAGGTCTACCAACTCAAGAAGTCGTGCGAGAGAAGATAATCGAGTACAGCCCAGTCATCCGCAGTGGCTGGTGAGGTCGGAAAGCAGCGTCTCTCTACTCCAAGTCCGCCATCGCCCGGCTATCACAGGGGCCTGGCTTCACCTACAAATACTCTACCAGCTTCTGGGGATGCTTGCCGAAGCATGTTGAAAATAGTGCATTCAGCGAAACTATTAGGGAAAATGATTTCGTACCACTCCTTGCTATTGACAAGATCGTCCAACACTGCGCACACGTCGGAGATGGAAACACCATGCAACACCCATCTCGAGTTTTGAGTCTGCATGATAAGAATCCAATCAGAGCCCATCTGTGCTCCAGCGGGACTCGCCCGGGGGGCAGAGTCGGGAGCACAGTCAGCCGTGCGTCCTCGCAATACGGAGGGGAGTCATTGTTAAATCAGGAAACTTTCGAAAGCTCGGGGGAAGCGGAGAGACGAGCCTTAGGACACCGGATTAGGATCTTCTATAGCACCCGGAAACGAGGCTCGAGGCCTCCCTGATGAGGCGACAAGAAGGCCACCTCAGCGATATGCCGAGATCAAAAACCGGTCTCGCGATTGAGGAGACTCGGTCCAGCGATGATGCGGAGCTTGAAAAAAAAAGGAATGGCATCTGGGACTGAGATGAGGTAGTAGAATAATTGAGAAACACTTTCAGGCAAGACAGCGTAACGGCAAGGTGTTCTAGAGGCCCCGCGTGCTCGAATCGACGTGATTGCCGCTTTGACTGCATTTAATAATGTCAAACTGATGCGAGAGGCCTTAGAGCTCCCACCGCGCTTGTCAATATACGTGCTAGCGACGATTGTTGTCACTGTGACACATGGCAGCAGGAGGGCAAGTTCGCTCGTGAATCAGTGGAACACATGTCGTAGGTTGGTGATGATTATTGAAATGCATTGCTTCGAATGATAAATACCGAGCTAGCTGCTCGGACGGCCGGGGACCAGGTAGTAAGACGCGTCAGACAGGCCGTCGCGAAGGCAGTCACTCAGGCAGGCAGGCAAGCAAGCGGGCTGGAAGTCAGTCAGGTGATGGCGACGACGCTGCGCCAGCCACGAGAAACAAGCTGTGCGTCGTTCTTTCTGCTGAGCTTCCTAGCTGCACTCTTTCTAAATATATACCATCCAACGCCGAACATCTAAGCCGCGACGAGAGGTCATAGAGATTACATAGAAGTCTATCTTTAGCTTCTTCTATCAAGACATTCAGTGCTTTGACAAAAATCAAAACTCTTCTCCAGTCTGCACATTAGAAGAATCATTCCTCCACCGATCTCTCTACGGGATCTCAGGAGCGACAGGGGGGATTTTCACGGCGTAGCCATCATGAGACTGCCGCCCCTCCTCATCCCGGCATCTCGCATCCGTGCTACCACTTTCATTGTATAGGTTTCCAGTGTATGCTTTGAAGACTTGCGCACTTCAAATCACTTGCAACGAATGAAATGAAGACGGCCCCGCTTCGGGCGCTTCTCCTCCTGCGAAATCTCGCGACTGAGCACTCGAGTAGGAGCCTTCGCAGATGGTCACCGCAAAATGGTCAGGGTCGGCCTAAAAAATGACATTAGGCTTGATAATTTATAGGCTCCGCTGCCGAGAGTTTCTCTAGAACCACTATCAGGTCTGCTCTATTCAATCGTCGGATAAGGAGCTGACATTGGAATGTGAGCCTCCATGATACCGTTCGTTGACATCGGGAATGGGTTCGGTGTTTCCTGATTCTGGCGATTCTCGACCAAGAATGACGGCTACCTTGCGCTCACTAATGTCGTCCTACGGGACGGGTTCACGAAGCCAATGCTCGGCGAGGTACATGTCTCAGTGTATGGGAGCTTCCTCAGCTCAAGTACACTGAGGCCGACCTCCAGTATCGAGCATTCACAAGCAAAAAAAAATCATCCCTGACACCATGCATAGGGGCTCGTGATTCAGCGCTGTGGTGGCATTTAATCACGGGGGAAAGATCACGTTCACATTACAAGCTATCAGACCCGCCAAGAGCTTGGAATCAGGACGTGCTACACAAACTCTGAGACCAAGGATAAGGACCGGAGACTCTGGTGCAATGAGCAGAGTTTTGATATACGAGAACATTTTCATGCAGAGAAGGACGAATGCTGGGCTGAGATCAGCGAGGGGAAAGATCTTTCGAGTGGACATCCTTCCCAATCCATACAATGAGCTTAATCGGGGAGTATTTCCCGATTTTAGTCGCAATATGCGATATCCCATATGGTCGAAGAATCTAAGCTCGTAAACTGATGTGGCGACGGTGAGTATGATGAGAATATGCTCCCGATGTTCTCTCGATTTGAGTACCGACATTTTGCATTGAATGTGTTCACGCGGGATTCCCTCCATGAAGATCAAATGCGAGAGCCTGCTAGGTAACACCAAAGAGGAGAACTCTTTCGCTTTTGGCACAGTGATCGACGGGAGTCCCTCTCTAGAGCTTCAAAGTCGTCGACCGGGAGAGGCCTCGATCACACCAGAAATACCAGTCACGGGACACGAACAGGTACCTCTCATGGAAAAACGGATTCAGCATATCGTTCCATGGGGAACCCCGGATCCGATCCCCTAATCTAAGTCGACCGAATCGTTTAGAAGCTTCGTGCCAGAAAATTTGGATGCTTTCCCTCGAAGTCGCCAAAGAGCGGACGTTTGCCCGTGGAGAATGCCGGAGAGCGGACATTTCTTTGGGAAGTCCACGAAGCGAAGATTGCTCACGAGAACCCAGAGAGAGGATCGAAAGACAGAAAATACGTCTCCTCCTATGTCGCAACTTTAGTGGAGGAGCGGACATGCGTTTCAAAATCCTCTTGCTGGCTGTTCCTTGTTCCTTGACGACATCGATTCCCGAAGAATCGTCCGAGTTATGGGTCTGAGTTTGATGAGTGCTCGAATTGTCGACTGCCCGAGCATTAACACGATTGCCCTCGACATCATCCTGGCACAGTCAGGCCCGTCGCAGGGAAGGAAAGTATATGCGATTCCCCGCAAGCGATACCTTATGCAGGCGAAGAGATATTCCGGTAATTGTATGGGCCCGATTGGATCGCTTCCGGAATTCAAATACGGCTTCTGGCCTCCGAAGCGCCACCAGGCGTGTGATGTGATGGTGCTGATGGAGGAACCACGGGGGAAGAGGACCCCGTCAACGGAGTCGGGAGAATCAACTGAACAAGAGTGCAGCGGCAAGCGGCTTCTATTCATCGCAGAAGAGCCTGCCTGCAATGAATCGACGCCGGAGAGACGGTCCGCCTGCCGGCGGTTTCTCCCCCTCCGATGGGCTCCTCGGCCGAGGCGTTGCGGCGGTGCTGAAGACGCCAAACGCAGGCCACCGGGCTGCCATCATTAACTACTCGGTCCCTTGTTCCCGAGACTCCCGACCCGCCGAGAGTGCGAGCGGGCGAGCCCTGTCTTGTGCTCAGCTTGCGCTTCAGGCCGATTCTCAGAGCCAGCTTACAGCCGGTTATCGCGTCGCTACAGGGAGAGAAATCCGACCGACGAAACTTTGGATCTATGGATGAGTTTCTTCTCTGATGGGACACTGTATTGAAACTCTCTCCACAAAAGCTCCAACGAGGAATTTTTGTATTGCCCATGAAGGAATCTATGGCTCCTTTGCAATCGAATTCCATTCATCTGGTCAGATTCGGGGCTTTTACGAGAAATTCTATAGAAACTATGGAACCGAGTGGAAGAGCTGACCCAGCTAGACTATATGGTCGCAATCGGGGAGGAAGGTCGTCAAGTTAATCCGAATACCGCTCTGTGTGGCCTCTTCTCCCGTGTCCCAATCACCACCACGCGAGACAGCTACTACTGAACTGCATGGAGAATGAGCTCGCGAATACGCAGGCAAGACTTCGGGGGCGAAGATTGGCCTCGCGCACGGCGAAGAACTTCAGGGCGTGACATTCTCGATGAGCGGTTTTATTGCATTAGGATCGACCTCTGAATGATAACTCTTGATCGAGCAGAGCGGGGGAACGGATTGACGTTCGCGTTCGTAGCAACCAATCAATCGCGCGCAAGTCTACGAATGCGGGGACATACCTCACATGCAGACTTCGAAACAATTATGATGCGTCAGCTGGAGGACGTATATACTTATCCGTGGATTCCCACGGATGCCTAAAGGCATTCATGAACTCACTTCGCATCGATCCACAGGGAATTATTTTTCATGAAACTTGAAGGTCCCATCGGAGCTAGCCACCCACGGAACGGAGTTCCCGACGGTTTCCCTCGATTTCTCTCTTCGGACCTCGATCCGCTGACGAGTGGAGAAGACAGCTCGAGAATACCCGTTTCTACTCTCAGTTCTGCGACCAGTATCGTCGAAGTTGAGGGCTTTGCGTCGTTCCGCCTCACACCGGTGGACTCGATCACGGAATGGATCGGCATGAGCTCGCCGAGGAGCGGTTCCTGCCCGGAACGCTTGTCCCGCTCTTCTCTTGAGACCACCGCGCGTACAATGCGAGAAACGCCGCGATAGCTGGGGGCGAGGACATTCTTCACCGTCTCATCTCAGACTGCTCGTCCTTCGTGGGAGCTCGAAGGTTATTCCATGCAGGCGAGGGGCGTGACTCGGAGAGAGATGCTGAGGCTCCTTCGTGCAGGGAGCAGCCGCCAGACGCAAGGGCCGCACAAGAACATCATTGATCGCCGAGTAACGCGCCAGACGACCAGACGCGGATGCTTGTAGCAGCTACGGCTGTGGAGGGCTAGAGGATCGCTCCACGAGCCTTACACGCAGGCGCACGAATGAAGGACGGGGACATTGTGCCGGGAGAAGACTCAGAATGCTCGAGCATGAGAAAAATGCCCCATTTCCACATTCTCGGCTGTATGCAGATCCAAGACTCACTCAGCTCGACTCCGAACTCCTCCTCGTCGTCGAGGGAAGCGTTCCAAATCTAAGGCCACCATAGAAGGATATACATAAGCCGCCAGAGGCACTGCACGGCGGGACTTCACCCCGTGCGGTGTGCGGCACAGATAGAGCTGGAATCTGCCAATGACCTCCTCTTTCTGATAAGTGCGAAGCGAGTGACATTGGACAGATCCGATCGGAAACGGGTGTGGATAGATACTCTGACCCGAGGTAAAGTTTGCGCGCCACGAAAAGTATCGAACCGCCCGATCAGAGGACCAGCTTGCGGACAGCATGATCAGATGCGTGCATCTCCTCTCTGAGCTCTGCCGGGGGTCGCTGGTCGTGGCCTGGTCATAGATCGGGCTCAATTCATATCGTATCCTTCAGCTCTGACACCTGCGAAAACGTCTCCAAAGGATTGCCATGCCTTATCTGAGATCTAAGGTAAGGAGCTTAACTCGATATCTTTGGCTCTTCTCTCGAATAAGCGTCCACGAGAAATTTAGGATGCCTCAGGGTGAATCTCCCCTCTAGGAAATCTCTCATTGCCATTTCCGGATGTATGATAGGAGGCAATAGTGAACATCGGCGTAGTCGGTCGCCATGATGTGTGTTCTCATCACCACAGCGCTAAACCCTCCTTCTCCGCGCTACTCTTGAAGCTTGATAGCCTGCTCCTGTCCGAGGAACCTCGCCGACGAAGAGCCGTTTATCGCGAGAACTCTCAACAGAGGTCTTCTCGTGGCAACCAAAGCGTCTTCTGAGTCTCGATCTCCTTCCAGGAGTCCCCGATCAGCTCAGGAATCCAGACTCAGTTTGATGAGCTCCATAATCATCCTGCATCGCAGCGTCTCACTCGCAATCTGCCATCCTACTTTGCGGAATATAATGTGGGGGAGTCCGTGGACCTCCGAATCAGCGTGGAGTGGGCTCTAGCTCCTGACCGCAGTACCGCGTCGCTTTCCGAGGAATCTACAGCTTCTGAATCATTCCTTGTGCATGTTGTTTGGTGTCGTTCTCTCCCGGACTACATCCACTCATCCTCTTGGATCCTCTGCTGTTCACGTCTCAAGGGCTGATATAGGCAATCGGCGAGAGCAGGTCCTGTGGGAAAGAGTACTCGCAAATCGTAACGAGTTCATGAGACCCTCCCGATGAGAATCGCGAGAAGCTCATCATCTGCGAGCGAGAGGATTTCAAACTCCGAGCTTTGAGAGAGATCTCCGTTCTCACGAGCACCCTATGTACATCCATACATGGTTCTCCCCTTCCCCTCCCTCTTGCCGGTGCTTTTATGCAGGTAGGGGAGGGGTTCGAACAGTAGGACGCCTGCTACTCAGGAATGTTAACAAGGTCCCATCACTCGCCAGGATACTGCAACAGATTATGGCCGCTGACGATTCGCCCACGGAATCTGCGGACGGCTCTGGGAACGCACCTCGCCGATCAAAACACGCTCTAAGTCTACTTCACTTCTGCTTGGGCCTACTGCATTCGGCTGGAGCTGGTCTAGTCCTTGATGGAGGGGGGGCGAATGTGCTCTCTGAAGCCCCGCCGAAAGTTCAGAGCCTGATAAAGCTGCGTTAGGTGAGCTAGTGGAAAGTCCTCGATATTTGTTTCGCTCCCTGTCGATTCTCGCTCACTTAGCGGGCGGAGTCAAAGTGGTCCAAGTGATGCTGCACTAAAGTACTGAGCACGTATCGAGCGGAGTGGAACGTGGCTTAGCATTCTAGACAGGTATATAGACCCGTGACGTGAGTTCAATGAAAGACCTAAGGGTCCGCATTTTTTTCTAGAATGGAGCGCACTTCCCCAAAAGACGAGAACGATCCCCAGAGTTTGGGCTGACAGCCAGACTATCGTCATCCTCGCCCGAACTTCATATTTTGGCCTTGCGATATCTGTCTCAGCGACGAGTCGGCGAGGGTCTGAAGAGCGAGCTCAATTCGAATGCGGATCGATGAGCGAAGTCAGGATCCGTGATTCCTAATCGCGGCGTCTATTCTTCCCCTCCGTTCAATTCTGGAGCGAGATGCAGACGGACACCGAACGGCATCCTTGCGGATGGACATTCCGGTACAGCATCCCTGGGGCAGCTCGATCTGGTGGAACTCTCTGATTCCAGACTTCCAAAGTACACACGGACAATAATCAGTGACAGCCGTTAGCCGCGGCATCGTCCGGACCGACGAGAGCAAGCGGCTGCGGCAGCAAGCAGCAGGTTTGGAGGAAATCTCATCAACTGATAGCACCAACCGGCGCTCATTTTACTGCCGATCATTATCATCGAAGATTGGTACCTCCGCAGTACCGACATGAATGAATTTTCCCCAAACGTCGGTCTGTGGTGAACGTCGCCTACCAGCTCTGGAACTCTTAATGCGCTCTCAAAGAAAAACATATCCCAAGGAACTCACCGGGTGCAGTTTGCCAGCTTAGTCCTCCTATGAACATTTTCCTGTAAAAATAGAGGGGTCAGCTACAGTCATAAGCATCGCGTCTTGCAAATTCAAGCTCATCAGATTTGATTTCCGTTTTCGGTTGGCTCGTCCTGACGCCAGTGGCAGACTATGTCTGATGTCATTATAAACTTCCCCCCCCCTCCAGATGAAAAATGAGGGAGACTTCATCTCGTTCCTGGATAGCTCGAGTAGATTTTCCACCACGCTATCCATAGGCGAAAAACAGGACGATCTTTCTCGTAGACGCCGGCCGAGAAGCCGACGAGGTTTCGAGAGGGAGATAGGCTGGCGGAACGCTGTATGAGCAGATCCGAGCCATCGAGTTCCGAGAGATCCGATTGAACACCGCCAAGGTCTCCCTGAAGCGGAGATCCCGTCGACCAGCGACGACACATGGTTCCCAGATGCGAGTTCGGCGCTTCGGTAACCCTACATTAGCGACTGGGTTCGCATAGCAGCTCGAGAAGTCAAAGCGCAAGGAAGATATTCCTCTGATTCTCAAAGGAGTCTGCACAGAGCCCCCCGAGATAACGCATCGGCAATAAATGTGGGCATCCGACTCGGCCTAGTAATAATTGAGCATCCATCCAGCGGTCACCACATGTCCAATGTATCCCGTTCGTCGTCATCCACCAGATCGCGCCGCGGCTCCGAACCCGGCGTTCAGTCAGGAAGCGAACTTTGTGCACATGATATTCTCAGGGAGCGCGGGGCAGAAGAACTCGAACGATATGCGAGCTGGCACCAATTATGAACACGCTCTTCGACACGGGCTCACGGTCACAAACACACGGATAAGCACTCGCACTTGCACATACGCTCACACACACGAATGAATCTTGCATATGTGAAGAATACTTGCTCATATTCGCTCACGGAAGAGTAGCGATGAGCTCATGAACGAATCATCGATAACTGTATTCGTCACATGAATTGGGAGCCCCGTCGTGAGATACTTCTTTGTTATCAGCTCCCTGCAGGAGAACACTGCACAAGCCTCGATGACCTTAGACCGTAATCGAAATGTTCTCCGTATAAGAGTAACTGCATGCGTGTCCGCCTGCGAGCCAGCTCATACGGTCATCTCGCGCGTACACTCGATACTCAGCCACGGCGAGCAGCAGTAGCAGCAGCGGAGAATGGATCGCGCACCGCGCACAGAGAAGCCTACTCCGGTCAGAGATCACTCAGTTGAAAGTCAGTCACTGAGCCGAGCGAGCGAATCGGTCGATCTGCCGCAAGTCAAATCCTCCCACACGATTTCGACACTGGATGAGGCTCATGACGTAGAGCCAACATGCGCGATCGAAACCGTCATTCCTTTATCCATTAGAGGAATATTCCAGTCCATCGGTCGGTCGGTCGGTCGGTCAGCCAGTCACCGATCCTTCCGTTAAGCTCGTCGAGAGCCAGGTTGGGAAATCTTTGATGATCCATCGTTCAGACGCTTTGACGGTTCTTCTTTCGATCACTCACTCCAATGCATCGATCAGAGCGTCAATTAATCAATCAATGACGCACGAAGGCACACACGCACTCACCCGGGATCATGGGCAGCTTCGTTGGGGCTGCTCGAGTTTGATTGAACCGCCACCTCTGACTCCATATCTGTGATGATTTCAGTCACGGAAGGAATTTTGTCGTAGGAACGAGGGTCGCGTTGAGGCGACGTTCACGATTTTGAGATGAAAATTCTAGGAAGCAGAATTGTGTGTCGTCTGCCTGTCGTCTATCGAATCGAACTATGAAGGAACACGTCTAAACACTCTCTGCTGCCGGCAAAGAACGGCTTCCTCAACTCTGCTCCGCGTCCGCTGGGGGGCGCTAGTTCTTGGCAGTAGCTGGCTCGCTCTGTCGCTGCCGCCGCCGCTGCTTCCACTAGTGCCTGTGCTGCCGCCGTCCCCTATCAGAGACCACCGCCGCCGCCGCCGCCACCACCGCCGCCGCTGCCACTGCGACCACCACGAGCGCTTGCGGGTGCTTACCCACCCTCCCTCTCGATGAACGGGACTCCGGCAAGCGAGCGAAGCGTCTCCTCTTCCTCCTCCACTGGGTACGACACCTCAATCGAGCTCACCCCTTACCCTCCTCCCTCCCGGAGGCGCTCTTCGTCTGAACACTAGCCGTCAAAGCACTCGTTTTCCTGTTCTACAGCTCTACTAGCAGGTGGCGAGCTCGTTGTGGATGTTAGACTTGACGTTGTTGTCGTTTTTGCCTCGCTGGATTTCCTGCTGTCGACGCTGCTTGCTGTAGGAGGCTTTGAGACCGTGTTTCCTTCCTCGGTACAGCAGCTTACGTGAAGCTTTCTGCTCCAGGGGTAGTGGCCGCATCGATGGCTGGCGCGAATTGTCGTTTCAATCAGAATCGATCGCTCGGAGAGTGGCTCCGCCAAGCCATCCGTTGGTCTGTCGGTCGTACGCGAGCTCACTTGCTCGCAAGCTGCTGCCAGACAGGCAGGCAGCAAGGTGGACAACAATCGAAACGCAGGAGAACTGAGAGGAATTTGCTTTCCCGGGTCAGCAGTTGACTTCACCGAATGGACGAGCCGAGCGGCGTTCGGCACAGAATTGAAGCTATCGAATACCGGCTCAAACATTCATAATTTTACAAAGAGAGACAGACGAGTAATAAGACGAGTGAGCGGGACGAAGACTATGTCAATGCATATCAACCTGATACAAAGGGAAGCGCGCGTCCCGCTCGATCTCTGCCATACCAAGAGCGTGAACATCAAATCATCAACCCTCTCCCAGCCTTCCTACCACAAGGGAGAGGACTAGCAGAAAGGGGGAGAAGTAGCCGTGACTCGGAAATGTCAGTGAATGCAATGGTGATGATGACGGCGAGCACTCTTCAAGCGAGCCTCTGGTCAGTCGGTGTTGACATCTCCGGGCTTCGAATGACAAGACATGACCCTCCATGGATTTCAACTGGCGCGGAATCTTCTTGCACGGAATTCGGGGAATCGACAGGGACGGGGTCTCTCCGAGAGAGTATCACTGACTCTCTCATGGGTACGAAGGTTACGGGGAGGCTCAGGTATGATTGTGCGAAAACTATTCTCCGCTTCCTCTCGGGTTTCCCGCATGGACCCTGCTAGCCATTTGGTATTGATCAGGTGAGCATGGGGGCCAGGAGCGAGAGCCAGTTCCACCGGCATGTAGAGCAAGCGTTGACGTATTCTAGAAGAGCGGCCGCATCGATTCTCAACTTAAGGTGAGGCGTGACCCGTGAGGACCTTTCAGGTTTAAGTTCGTGGATCAAGCTCTCGATTTCGTTCTCGGACAATCTGTCAGGACTCCTTATTGATGTCATGATTGAGCCTCCACTATCGTGAAAGGCATTCCTCCCGTCGAGAATGAAATTCAGGATCCCTCGGTCGATCTCCGGGCGGGTTGCGGGAATGATTCGGGGGCCTTGGACATGCGAACATCGCCGCGGATCATCGCAGAGCCACATGAGGCCCAATGGAGGTCCGAAGGACGGTCCAGTTAGATTTCGTGGACTTCGAGAGCCAAACGGCTAGCCCAATGATGATAGCTTGGTGTAACCATTGGGGTCCGCGGCCATAGTAATGCGTTCCGGTCGATCCGGAGGGATGAAATCGAGGCCTTAGGGGCATCCAGCTTCAAGGGGTAGGCCAGAGGCCAAAGCTGCGACACTGCCTCGAAGAAAATGTCATACTCGGAAGCTGTCAACGAGTCCGCTACGCTGAGAATCAGGTCTTACCCTCAGGCAAACGGGGAGAAAGTCTCGCAGCTTCCTCCAAAGCGCGAAATCTTCCTGACAGGTTCGAGGACAGACGTTTTCGATTATCTCACCTTCCACGATCATTTTATTCTTCTCCTTATTTGAAAATTCATATGTGTCGACTCGTCCACTTGCGCCGACATAATTGTTCGACGGTTTCCAGGGTGCTCCTAGAATTTTTCCGTGGTTCTCTGAGGGAACTGTGGAAGAATATTCCGTCTACATGCCGGAAATTGTTCTACCTGAAGCAACGTAGTCTCGGGAATCCGCTGTACTTCGTTGTTTCTCGAAAAGTTCATCTTGAGTCAATAGAAACGAAAAAGAAAAGCGGGAAGGGGAAAACCGAGTATAGAAAATGTGTATGGGTGAAGGGAGACCAGGTAAAGGGAGATCTAGGAGACCATACGTGGATCGTCATCCGTGCACTGAAGCACGATGTCCCGCAAGTAGAATACATCGTCCCCGACCATGACCATCGCCTTCACGTCAACTCTCGGAGCATCGTGGCGTCTTCCGTGCTAGATCGTCGGCGTTCTGCCGTCGTTCATGGCAACTACGGAGTCATGCTTTAACACGTAGCATATATACTAGAGCGACTCAGATCGATTACATTAATTCATTATGCTCACTGAGGAATTCTCGCCTTCCCTTGACTTTATCTCGCCCCGTAACGAAATCGGTGATCTTGTCCGACCTGTGAGTAGTCGGTCGCGCCGGAGGACGTCGTCTAGGAGCACGAATGGTATTCCCGGATATTCCCCATAGAAATGCCTCGACTCATCCGGCTCGGGGAAGACCAATCAATCCCAAGACTCGGGTCCTGCGCTCGAGGCAGGTAGTCTGATCTCCCCCCCCCTCCCCTAGACAGCACATCCGGGGTGTTTCACTCAAGAATTTCAGCGGTCGGCGGAATTCGCAGTTTTCAATCATAAGACCTCCAAAGACCTTAGTATGGCAAACGTGACCGGCCCGAAAATCGTGGAGTGGAAGCTATCTGATGAGGTTGAAAATGAGCCATCTGGTGCAGTGGCCTGAAGATACTTATTCAAGTGTCCATACACGAACGTTTGGAGTCAATTCGCTGAGAGGCAAGTCCCCGATCCGAACACCGAATCATTTCCGCCCTGCGAAACCGCGGAAGGAACGGAAAAAAGAGCAGGGTGATTTGATTTTCAATCGAAATCATATCACCGAGAATTCCGGAAAGCGGCCATGTCCTGAGCCCCGGGAAGGGTAAGACGACAAAACAGGACGTGTCCTCTCATATCGCCGCTCAAGCCATACCGCCAAGATGACTTTGGAGTCATGGATGAACAATTGTACAAATACACATGCTTAATCTTCCACATGTATGGATGAGAGGATGAAACACATCCATCCCGGGCTCACTCTGCCTTTTCGGCTCCCGACGTTTTCGAAGAGAAGGTGTGCTCAACCTCCCCCCAGTGACCTGAAGTCTTGACTGAACGTAGTACCTGGTTGACCTCCGGGTTCGTCCCGCCATGCCAATCACGGGAGCCCTAGCATGAGTGCGAATGTATCGTGTCACATGCTCGACCTGCGTGACGTCACGAATTTCTCAGAAGAGACCCACACAGTATGCTTAAGGAAGCCGATCCGAGAATCGCACCCGTTTCGTAATTGAAACGACAGGAATGCTCAGCAGAACCCCTCGATGAGAAGTGACGACGGTAAAGACACGATATCGAATCCGACGATTCGCGCCGGTAGAAGTTATTGATGATTACGGATTACACGGATCCCCGCATTGCTTTCGACGACAGGTTCCGTGGAAGCAGTCTGTTGCCAATGCGGTTTATCTCGGATCGATGTAGAAGCGTTTGAGAACGCATCATGACCTCCGCGCTGTTGGAATGAGCGGAGAATTCGGCAAGACGGAGTTGAGAAATGGAAAAATGTGCGACATTCGAGAATCCGAGGCTGAATTCTTCTTCGAGGAAAGGAGCGCAGGAGGGCCGAGACGCTCCTCAGTAAGAGCGGGTTTTTAGCGTTCTCTACCGTTGAATGGAGAAAGCGCGCCAGCATTTTTCAATTGGGTTGGCGTATGGGATAGCAACGGAGCTATGCAGTCCCATTCCTCCCTCGGAACGCGGTAGCTCCGAAGCAGTTATCGGGGAGTCATGTTAGTTCGGTCATTTGTTCACAGGGTTCAGAAACATACATTTTCAAATGATACACACACAGTCAGTGTACGATGCGGCTTGGCAGGAAAGTACACAGCCCATAGATGCGAGAGGAGAGATAGAGACACCGAGACGAAGAGGATTCTGATCGACATCCTTGATTCTGCGGACTCCGAGACGATCCCAAGACACCCCCCCCTGTGTTCTTTCCCCACTGTACTTCCCGCATTGGTGTATTATAGTTCTGTCTTTCGTGTTGATCTCTTACTCTCCGTTGAAGTTGCGTATCTATACGTTGGATAGAGTTTACATTGGCGATCCGCGACCAGAAGGCTTTCAGCTGCTTCTCCCCGGCTGAGACGTTTCGGCGTATCGTCAATGAGAAGCCATTGTTGCGAAGATGAACGAAGCGATTTCTGCCGGATTGAAACCGCTCAGGGAAGTCGCAGCGAAGCCGAGGAGCATCTTCGCAATCGATGCCGAGTTTTCCACACAATCGTTCCGCGAGAGAATCAATTTGCTCTTCTGACGAATCCTTACCCCGATGGAGCCCGGGCGTCTGCTGAAGCTCTACCAATACCCTCGAATACGCCGGTACTCCCGACAAGCGGAGTGTCTCTCCCTCTCAGTCTCTCTATGACCCAAGGAAGGCCATCGAAGTGGGCTTCGATCAAGCTGAGGCTCTCGTCGAAGGCTATCCTTCTTCGAAATCTGCTGAGCAGTGAGGATACTTGCCGCTTCCTTCGGATCCGATGCTTCAACGGCAGCAGTCACGGAATCGAAACCGTCCGCAGAGCAGACCAGAGCTCGGATCCAGGCTCGGATGGGAGAGGAGTGTTCGGCGCGATCTCGCGAACGATCGTCTTTCGAGCTGCGGATTCCAAGATTTTTTTCGCCGTTTGAAGCCA